ATTACCAATCACGTAGTGATGTTTCGGAAATAATGATGTAAATAATAAATAGAGTTACTGAAATTGGAAATATGAATATTGATAGAAACAAGGAGAAGGGGAAGAGGTGTACAAATTAAACCTAGAAGTTACATCATATTGACGGTCACGGTAATGAAAGTGGTCGAACAAACTTCTTTTGAATACAAAGGCTAGGTTTGTGAAGGTGGGTTGCAATCGCCTCTTCTATGTGAAGTAACCGAGTACGTAATCCATGAGGTAAATTAATTGGAATCTGATGGATGATTTTGAAGGCTTTTCTAGTAACCACTTGATATCCTGTATCAACTAAGTGGGCAAGTATGGAGCTCTACCGGCAACCTGTTGGTGTTGCTATGACGTCACCTCCTGGCCTGCTCTTAGCGGATTTATTCTGGCAAAACTTGAGAATGGTTCACTGAACGATACTATTAGCCATTTAGAGTTATATTGTCGTTACATGGATGGTAACTGTATAGTTCTCAAAAGTGAGACTGATAAGAATGCTGTTCTGAATAAGTTCAATAGTGTTCACCCGGCAATCAGCTTCACAATGGAAGACGAGAAAAACGACAGTATCCCATTTCTTGATGTTCTGTTGGTAAGAAGGTCAGATGGAACCCTGAAGCGAAGTGTTTATAGAAAGCCAACACCAACAGGTCAATATGCGCACTTCTTTAGTGCTGTACGCCTCCAATACAAAAGGAACTTAGTGAAATGCTTAGCATACTGTGCCTCAGCTATTTCCTCAGAGGATGTTGCAGAAGAAGAGTGCACCACCATCCGTGATCTGCTTAGTAGGAATGGCTACCCAGACAAGTTTGTAACTAAGCACATGAATATTATGAGGGTTAAGACAACAATGTCAACAGTTCCTAAGCAGCAAATCTTCTTGAAGCTGGAATTTAAGAGTGATATTGCCAGTGAGATCATCACACAACGCATAAAAAGAGTCTTGCATAAAGCATTCCCAGCCACTAAATTATGTCCCGCCTTCTACAATCGCCCGATTCTAAGTGCAAGACAAACTGAAAGACAAACTGTCTGATTCTGCCACTTCTACGTTCATTGATCCATTCAACTGCTCCTGTGGAGCGAGTTACATCGGGTGTACAATGAGGCAGTTCCATCGTCGAATTTCTGAGCACCACCCATCATGCTTGAACAAGGGACAAATTAGAACGATAAAGAGCTGCATACTTGCTCACTTAGTTGATACAGGATATCAAGTGGTTACTAGAAAAGCCTTCAAAATCATCCATCAGATTCCAATTAATTTACCTCATGGATTACGTACTCGGTTACTTCACATAGAAGAGGCGATTGCAACCCACCTTCACAAACCTAGCCTTTGTATTCAAAAGAAGTTTGTTCGACCACTTTCATTACCGTGACCGTCAATATGATGTAACTTCTAGGTTTAATTTGTACACCTCTTCCCCTTCTCCTTGTTTCTATCAATATTCATATTTCCAATTTCAGTAACTCTATTTATTATTTACATCATTATTTCCGAAACATCACTACGTGATTGGTAATTTGATTAAGTTGTAAAACTATGCATATTAGTGTAGAGGCCAAGATGAAGACGGACTTAATTGAAAAGGAATTTATTTCTTCGCCCACTCAATCAGTCTTTTTCTGAATGTCTTATTGGGAATATTCAATGTTTTAGAATCAAATGTGCCAAGTGTCGGCTGGTCTACGCACAACCTTGTTCAGGTCTGGGACCTGCCTGGTTTCCTCGACTTTGTTGTTCTCAAGTTTCATTGTGGTGTCGAGTTATTATAGACACAAGGATTTCGCTCACGTTATTAGTTAGGCTGGTTCCGCCATCGTTGTTACAAGAAAACTTCTCTACCTTCTTGCAGACTTGAATGATCAGTGAAGTAGACCGTGAGTCATAAGATATTTGATTTGACTACAGATCATTAAGAACCTTGTAAATGAATTAGTATATCATATCTCCTTTTGAATATCCGACATCTTATTACTATGTTTATATTCCCCAGCCCTCGACCCGACGATACTTAACAGACTGTATTTTGTACATTTCTAAGTTCCTTTGAAATACTAGAATATCAACAGATATACTGGTGAATTTTTTTAGTTGGTTAACAAGCTAGCTAACTGGAAGATTTTCTGTGTCGTTAAAATCACTTTATAATTTTTCTCTGATGCACAACAAACGACTGATTATTGTTCGCACCTGTGGGACGGACTGCAGATTAAACTGAAGGAATCCTTGAACACTGAGTCATTACCAATTGCAGTCATATAGCGTTGTGCTTAAAAAAATTCATCACAGTAAATTATTATCATTTTGACTATGTGAGATAGCTATGGTTTGGCAGGCTTGTACTGGGTAATGCTTGAAGGTGAAATGAAAATCTTGACCGCTGCGGGATTCGAACCAACAACCGCTGGATTTCACATGGTTAAAATGATAATCAATGTGATGCTCCTTTTCTCAAATTCTGCTAGATTCGTACTGAGATGAGAATCCTTGTCTGGGCAACCAGTGTGAGTACGATCAACCGTTAATAGCGCGTGACGAATTCACATGGAAGTCAGGCAAAACCCCCGGTGATTGATTGAAGTGAAATAAAAATCTGTTGAGCAGTCGCGTGTCATAGCTTAGTTGGTAGAGTATCCGACAGGTAATCCGGTGGTCGCTGGTTCGAATGCCCCCTTGGTGTAAATTTTCATTTCACCTTCATTCGTCACCCAGTAACAGTAAATTATATTAATTCAATAACCAATCTGTTTTTAACCTCAGAATATCTTATTACATTACATCGATTCATTTCCTTTTGTTTTCTTCAATGATACACAGTTTGCCTGTTGTTTGGGTTTTCATAGATTTTTGTGTTATAGGGAAGCTTGACAATTATAATGGAAACTAATTTCTAGACAATGTTTTATACTCTTACATATGCGTCTGTTTATCACAACTGCAAGTTAGATTAACAAAAAGAAAACTGTAAAAATTATAATTTATAGTTAACGTGACTGAATTTTATCTACATTATTCTTTGTCTATTAAAAAATCAACTCATAATCAATAGAATATACATCAATATTTTTTGACTAGCTAATTTTTTCATTCCAAAATCCTTTATTCAATTTCTTAGGTCATAGATACTGGATACTCCATATAACTTGATTGTACACATTTATGTAGAAAGTGAACTCAAATTCACAATGATATGAGTAGGAGGATAGACGTGAACAATTTTTATAGGTCTAGGTAATTATGCAAATATTTTGAGGAAGTGGTCAAATTAAGTACCATACTGAAAGTAAATTATATCAATCTAAATAGGATAGATAGTTAGTAAATAAGACTTTTGAGAATAGTTTAGAGTTAGCAATCACTAGGATATTGATTGGAATCGATTATTATTGTTTGTTATTGATTATTTTTCGTTTGGGTTCCTAGTGAAACATAAGGCTTCAGTAGCACGCTTCCATTTCACTGTGTTCTCTGCAGTCTTTTGCACCTGACACCAAAATTGCCCTGTAGCTTTCATTTCTTCTTCACACCATCTCCTCCATGTCGCATAACTCTTCATTTCCCCTTTGGGTTCATCTCTAGCATCTGGCCTGGCGCTTGATGTCCCAAGTCGGCCTTCTCAGTGTATGCCCAATCTTCTGCATATTTGTTGGGCGATAGGTTCTTGGTTGGTCCGTTCCCAGAGTTCCTTGTTGCCTATTCTTTCTGGCCATCTGATCTTTAGTATCGAGTAAGCGTATTTGGCCGTTGTTGATGAATATCTGTAGTTTGTTGGGAGTGATTTTCATAACGCACCAAGTTTGTCAACCATATAGCAGCACTGACATGACTGACGTTGGTGTTGAAAATCTGGATCTTGTTCATGCTTCGTGCTGAGTGCAGAAGATCTTACTGACTTCAGACTAGTGAAAGCCTGTCTTGCTTTTCCGACCCTGATCTTGACATCCTCTTCTGTGCCTGTGCCACCGCCTGTTGTCAAAGTAATGCTGTCTAGGTAGGTGAAAGAGACAACTTCCTTTAGATTTCTCCCGTTAATGGTGATTGGTGCTTGTTGTTAATGCTGTTGTTGGTTGGGTATCTTCATCGCTTCCGTCTTCTCTACATTCACCTGAAGTCCGGTTTTATCTGCCTCGCCTCTTCTACCAACTTGTTAGTTTTCGCCTGTAGATCCTCGAGTTTATGCGATATCAGACATTAGACATAAATCATCATCACTGGCGAAATCCAAATCTTCTAGGCTTTTTTTATCAGTCCTGCCAGCGTATACCCATCTTCTCGCTCCTCACGGTCAACAACCAATTACTAAGTGTTAATTAGTGTTCACAGATCATTTTTTTTACTTAAATTTGTTATTTTCAGTTTTTATAATTAAATTTGGGATATCCTTATTCCTAAAAATTGTCAAGTCTACCAAAATAAATGCAAACGTAGAAAATATGCACGGTAGACATTCATTTTTCTACTCGCTTTATGTTAATATCTTTTGGTCTATCTGGAAAGCTGTAGGCTTTTGGTCTTGTATAGTGAGATCGCAGATCAGATGTACCGACTCAGTATGGTCTTTTTCATCACATTCAATATCATTTTCTCTTCTCTTTTTACAGATTCTTTTCTGTTTATCTGAATATCCTTATAATCTGTTCACCTATCGCTTGTGTGTGTGGCTATGAAATGGGATAAATTGAAGTGATACATTTCTATGCAAGGTTCAAAATTGTTTAATATAAACCGATTCTTGGTAACGATTGTAGGTGAAATAGAAATCTGAGTTGCGTAAGATTTGAAGTTATCATTTCTAATTTTAACGGCTTGGTGCTTTACCAACTGGCCTACAAGACAAAGGTGCTGGTTAGTTCTTAACTTCACTTTGTCCATAATGGTTTCACCCAGTGTCCATGTGGCTTCGTCAGTAGCTGGATTCGGTAGCTCAGTTTGTAGAGCATCGTACTGGTGACTCGGAGGCCATTAGCTCCAATCCTGATGAGACCCAGAATTTCATTTCACGCTCAGTCATCATCTAGTATGAATAATAACAGCCTGTCAAACTACAAATATCTCAGATAGCCTCATTCGTAATACATGCTTCTCTCTTTGAATGTAGGTGAGCTGTCTTAACAGTAACAATTAAATTCCCCCCCAAAAGTGAATATAAACTGAATAGAGGTCTTAAGTTCCCCGTGATAGGATTGATTTTTGGATCGATGTTTTTAGATTTTATGAACAAGATGATTCATTTTACCCAAATCTCTTCTGAGTTACTAACTGAGAAAATAGGGTAACTGCAGATGAACCTGGGTCTATCATACTTAATTTACGCAAATATTAAGAAATTTGTAGTCAGACTGCATAGTCGATAGTCTATGATGACTAGAGTAGTAAACTACATTTGTTATCCGACAGATAACTAGGCATGCGAAGTCATAAACCACATACATAGATCTACCTGTCTCATCAGCCGCACAAAAGTAACCGAAGCAATGAACTACTAAATTTTTTTCATGATAGAGCATTTCTGCATGAGGTGGATTTCAAAAAGAATCTGCACATACTGTCCGAGAAGTAAATGATCAATTCACAGGATTCTGATATGCTGACCATTACTCCAAACCAGTGAAACAGCTGCCCGTCGTTCAGGCTAATCCAATATGATACGCGAAACCAGTAGACCAACGTAAAAGACCCTTAAATTTTCATTTCGTTCTTTTTTCAATCTTAATAAATCTGAAAGAAATAAGTAATTCTGGAATTTGTGTGGCTAACTGTTTTGAGAGTCTTTGCTTACAGTTTACTGTTAAATGGCACTAGTTATTCAGAATACAAATAGGTTTATCACCTAGGTATAAGCAGAAGTTTTCAGCCGATCAGTAATTTCGTTTGTTTAGTACACACTAAATGCTACGTCATATCATCAATTTTCATAAAATATACACGCAATGGCTACTGTATATAATGAAGCAACAACGTAACAGGCTTAGGTGACCTTGAAATTCCTGTTTGAATTCTATGCCCGCCAAATTACTAGCTACAGATAGTATTTTATATCCAGGATAACTAAAATGCATTTTAAAATTAATTATGTCGGATAAACACTATCCTTTTTACGTTAAAATGTCCAATTCCTAGGTCAAATAAAAGTGTGTTACGTTTCACTGTAAAATGTTTTATTTTCGAATTAATTTTCGGAGACTAATATATTTTTATCATTCTTTACTTCCTACGTTTTTTTCTAGTTTGCCCCCATTACCTAGACCAGTGTCATTTCCACTAGTTGAATCAATATCACAACCAACTAAACGGTTACATTATTCCAAATCGTTACATAATTTTAGCAATACTTTTGATACTACTTACAACAGCCAATCAGTAGTTCTAGAAAGTATACACAAGTCTCATGCGCTACATTATTCTTGGCCATTATTAAAGCATTTGAAAAATCATAATTCTGTAGTCAATTTATGTAAAATGAGGAATATTCAACGTGTCACTTCTGATTGCCAAAAATCCCAATATACATTACAACCAACAGCAGAGACTAATAATGGTATAAAAGAGAAACTTGAAACTGAACATAACACAACATTGTCTACTGAGAATCAAAACACTTCACTAGCAAATGAGAATGAAATGGCTTTCGTCTGTGATAATGAGAAGTAAGTCAGTTCATGTAGCAAAATTTTTAAAATGAAGTTTTGTTCTTCGTCCAGAATATCTCCTCATATACGTGATATTAAATAAACTGTTCTGAAATTTCCCTGTATAGTATATACTTTTGTACAGTCTGAAATGAAACATTAGGTAACTTAGAAATGGTGTATAATAGTTCAAGCTCATAATCTTTACAACATTTAGACTGAGTTCGTCTCTGAGCTGTATTTTTGGTTGGTGAATGTTTCAGAGTCAAAGGTAGATATCATCAGTATATAAAAGCAGCACAGGAAAGTAGTGAAGCGATTGGATATGCATCCATATTTATAATTTGCCACTTTCCCAATCAGAACAATATAATACTCGTGAACTAAGTCAGATGAAAATATCAAGTGATCAGGTCGAAGAGACATTCAATTATTCATTCTGATAAACAGCGAGTTAAGACGAATCGGCTTCAACGTATTGTGTGCAAAGAAACAACTCAACCAATGATGTATTTGAACGCCTGTTTAAGAAAAAAACGAGGAGCAACACTTCTACCAGTCAGGTTCAGTATATCTCCATACACTCAGGAAATGAAGAAAGGCTCTGGACTCACGAAATGTAACACGCTGTAAATAATATAAGTATCCAATTGCTTCCCTTCGTCATGAAGCTCTGATACATTGATGATGATATCCATCCTGATATCTAAACGATTGCCAGCGGAAAATCCAGTTCAGAGGACTGCCTAATCTGGAATAAAACTAGTTCAATATCTTCTCAGCTGATGGCTGTTTATGAGATAAGATTTCATCTAAAATATTGAAAATATCAAAGATAACATCATTAGACGTTAGACTACGCATCAAATTAACGGTAGACAACTCTACTAGGGAGATAGTTCACTTAAATGTCATATCACTACATGATTAGTAACTTGGTGTATGTTGGTCTGGATTTGGTTTTAGCTTCAGCTTCTCTTATATTCAGTCATCGATTTCATAGGTTTAATCCGCCTGTAGACATCATGATATAAAGCATACAAGTCGCAAAGGGATGAGGGATACAGTACATGGTCCAGATTTTATTAGCTGTGACTTATAAATGCGAAGCGGTTTAAAAATTTCACATCTAAACATTTTCACCTTTCGGTTGAACAAAACTTTTGTGACAACCAATCACTTTCCAGTATGCATTGACCAATCAGAATCGAGAATACCAAGGGCAACGTAATCATTGAGGAAAATGTTAATTTATTTGCAATTTTTAAATCTGTTTTACATGAGAAATAAAAATATTCAGATTTTTGCATGGTTGGTTATCCTTAAAATTATACCATTTTCTGCATTGGCACTAATCCAATCCGTTAAAAGTCTTAAGACGTCTCCACATATTTTCGAAGTTGTTTGTGTACACTCCAGCTGTCGAATCAGCGGAGTGCTTATTGTGAATAATAGCTTGATGGAAGGGGGGGGGTAACACATCTTAGAGAGATGTATATATGACCTCCAAGCATCTGTGTATATCAGTATACCACAATTGTGGTACCCGAAGCCACGCATTTTTCTATAACTGCTAGGTTAGACTTTTCAGATATGTTCTTTGTTCACTGAAAATGTCCTTCCTTCGTATTTCGGTCATATATTTCGAGAATCTGTGGGTTTCCAAACAAGACGCTCATCTACTTCAGCCACATTACCTACTCCAAATTTCACATCCAACCTGTAGCGCAATCTTTTTCATAACTCACTTTCTTCAGCGTCAACAAGGCAGTAAACTGAAGTAATGAATAACCTTGAATGGAGCATCTTCAACCTGACCGGTTGTCTTCAATGTTTCCTGCCACCAAAGTTTATTTCATCATCATTTCTACTAACAAGTAAAAATAATGTGAAATCATCATCTAACTTATCATATTTGCAAACATTTCTTACTTTTAAAGACGTTTATTCCCATTGTAATCATTTCTCCGTTTACCGTTGTGAAACGCTAGACGGTCTGTTATAACCTTGTATCAGTGATAAAGGTTTGTGAAACGTCTGGTGTTTCAGATTCGTTCATCAATAACTAGTACGATTCTCCCTCCCTTTTAATTCACCTCGACTTCAATCGGGATGAGAATTTCGGGTCGGGAAGATAATTTGATTGCGATGAACTGTCACTTAATCGTCACACAACCACACTATGACCATTTACACTCTATGTGACTCATATGAAGTTAAAACGTGATCACCAGCCTCTTGTACTCGTAGCTCAGCTGGTATAGTGGAGGGTTAGTAACCCGTTGGCCGCTGACTGGAGGCGTACCACAGCTCAGGTTTTCCCTTCATCATCAATGATCATCACCCCGTGTCAGCAGTACACCAGTTCGCTAAACTACTGTCACCCCAAATGGTCTAAACAACAATCGATCATTTTTATGCTGGAAAGATACAACCCCCGCTTCTCTTCCGTTAATTCGCTTCATCAGGTTGCTAACCTATTCAGTGATTCCACAAGTACAACGTGACTTATGATCTGAGTTTTACAAAAAGACTATCTAAATGTTTTACACATTAAACAAAGTGTAATGTAGGTGAGAGTGAGACAATAAGGATTTTTGTATTTCAGAGTAGAAAGGTTAAGGTGAAGGCGAATCCAATGTAACAAATAGTTTAAACATGATTATGAGTGGGTACATAATCTTCAACTAAACAGATAGGTTATAAAGACAATCAAGCAATCTAATCATTAGAATCTTCAAAATGTATATGAATGTAAGAAGTGTAGGTGTTGGCTCTAGTGAAATCCATTCTTAGCAGCATGTTGCAAAATCTTTATTCATTATGAATCTCAACCAAGAAGCGTTCACCTGTCTAAATGGCCGTCATAGACTTCCTAGATTGACGTTTTTTTTATCTAGCTTTTTTTTCTCACTCTGAACATTGTGAACACTATGCGATGAAGCAAACTGTGAACTGGTATTAGTCATGCATATTTCAGTCGTGAATTATACCAACTGGCAAGTGAATTCCTAGCCTGTGCCCTGTAAGAAGACGCAGAGTCAGTAGGTGGATTCCCTGAAACAAAAGGAATCAGTGGATAAATACTCTTTGTAAAATGGCTCAAAGTTGCTCACAATGACATACATGTATTCACTCCTTGACATCTCCTAAAGCTTGGATTTTTTTGAATGACGTTCATTTTTAAATCCCTTCTCCTTTTATCCACTTTTCTCCACTTTAATATCAGTCTTCCTATCTACTTGTTCTTTTTGTACTACTGTGAAGTCTAGTAACTTGAACCAACGTACCTGTGTGTGAGGTTCTACGTTGATTTATCTAGAAGATATTACTGGTCAGGATCAAAATGTATTCAGAGACAGTATTATGATTGGCTACTCTTTAAGTGGCAGTAAACACCAGCGATTTTCAACAGCATGGTGCAATGGTATTAGCTTTTAGTGACTACTCACAGATATGAGAGTATCAGTACCTCTTAGGTTTCAGAGAAAGTTTTTGACTCCAAACTTAAATATACTGATGTATAAGAAATGACATAAGTCATAAAAAAGGGAAAAACCCAATCTGTAAAACACAATCGGAAATTACAGGTATTGACAAATAACACTGTGATACTGTCTACTTTCAACTATCTAATACATCGGCTCATAAAACTTGAAACACACTAAAAACTAGACAAAATTAATACACTTAATCTAACCATTCAAAAGCTCAGCTACTGTGTGAATAGTTGAAAAGTGGAAATTATTACTGGTATATTGAATGATCTAATCTCATTCTCATTGAAACTTATTACATACTTTATTGTTATTTTATTGTCAATAGGAATGAAATTCAGTTTATTCAACATTTCCTCCCAATTAACTTCTTAAATTCCACTTCTATGATGTTTTCTCTCACTTATTTCAGAAAAGAAGATGATACTCCTACTTCTCATTATTTGGAAATGAATTTAAGTGAGTTATGCAAAACAGTATCATAAGTTCAGTTTTCACTAATAATTAAAATCAAACGATTAGAGAGTTTTAGAAGTGGTATTCATCATGGACTGATATCAATTGAGAAACCATTGAAAACCTGGGAGCACTCGATAGCTATTTCATCCTAGTATGGGACTCCTCAGCGATACGCACTCACAACTCGGCTAGGGATCGAAATCAGGAACTGTAGCCACTAGGTTGGTTTTCAGTGGTTCACAGTTTCCAGCTCCTGCAGTACGACTATCACTCAAGGTCTTCAGTTGGCATTTGTTTCCCTTCCGACTGGTAGATTTCATAGGTCACAGCTTTTCATTAGAATTTCGTGATATCCATCTAAAAGCACTTCACTAATGAGCGCTATATAAAGTTCTGATGAGAAACCGTGACCTGTGGAGTTAACTAATTGAATGGAAATCGGATCCTATATGAAGACCTTGGGCGATAGTCGCGATATCTCGTGAATTGACAGAAGTTAGAAACTGTGAACCACTGGAAACCGACTCAGTGCTTGAATGGTTAACGCATTCACCGTGAAATCTGAAGGTCCTGAATTCGATCCCTCGGGTTGTCGTGGGTGCGTACTGCTGAGGAGTCTCATGCTAAGACGAAACAGCTATCCAGTGCTGTCAGACTTACAATGGTTCCCCAACTGATGTCAGCCTGTGATGAATACTGACTGTAAATGCTGAGATAAGTTTAGATTCAATTTCAAACATTTCAAGCTACTGAAATTAACAACAGTATGCTTAAAGAAAGTGGACAGAATCAAATGATATTTCAGTAAACCTGAGTGTTTCAAAGAAAGAAGAATGAGTGAATTAGTATAAACTTTTCTGTGAAGTTAGAAGCACATTTTACTGACCAATACAAGTCTGCATAAAAAAGCTGGAGAATGATGAATTATGCTCATGAAATTCTTATAAAATGTATTTTTGAGATGAATGGGGATTTTTTAATTTAGAAGTAATATTCATCATGGAGTGGCATCAGTTAGGGAACCATTGAAAATCTGGGAGTACTCAACAGCTGTTTCGTCCTAATATGAGACGACTCAGCAGCATGCACCCACGACCTGGCTAGGGATCGAACTCAGGATTTTCAGGTTCCACCGCGAACGCCTTAACCATCCAGCCAGTGAGTCAATTTCCAGCGGTTCACAATTTCCAACTTGTGTCAATTCACAACATATCGCGACTATCGCCCTAGGTCTTCAGTAAGCATCCGCTTCACTTATGACTGGTTGACCCCGCAGGTCACGACTTCTCATTAGAGCTTCGTGATATCCATCTGGAAGCAAGTCACGTGATACAGTAATGATATGTAATGCAATGTGTATGTAATGTATTTTTGAGATGAATGGGGATTTTTTAATTTAAAAAAGTATTCATCATGGACTGACATCAGTTGGGGAACACGTAAAGCCGACCCAGTGGCTGAATGGTCAATGCGTTCGCCATGAAACCCTGAAGGTCTTGAGTATGACCTCTAGCCGGGTCGTGGGTGCGTACTGCTGAGGAGTGGCATACTAGGACGAAACAGCTGTCCAGTGCTTCCAGATTTTCAATGGTTCCCTAACTGATGTCACTCCATGATGAATACTACTTCCTATAAAATATTAAAATCCTAAAAATATTCAGATTTTACTCAGCGTAATGAACTGTACTTCTTTTCAGTATTTGATACATATTAAAAAGTTTTGAATCCTCACTATCGTGTGGCGTCGTATTGCACTGGGTTATGAAAGCTTGTAGTTACAGTGATTATTTGTTAGTTTCTCCCATCTTAAAGGAGTGACTGAGATTTCCTAAGGGGACTTAGACTATGATGAAAACAAAACTTTAAATGGTTACCCAACTAGTTCTTATCCATGTTGAAATAAACCCAGGAAACAATAATTTCTTGACCAAAATTCATCACTCATTAGAGATAAACTTCATGAGAGATTTCTCAAGCTTCTTAGTGGAAACATTTATCGCTGTCACCATTCACATAGGAAATGGAATTAATGCCCATTGATGATGTTCAATAATATTTATGCCCTATAATAAACTGACTGAATTAGGTATACGTGACCTATTGAACCTCCATCATGTAGCTCAATGCTGATTTGTTAGCACAGGTACTATAAGCTCACGACTATGCGCGAAACACCGCCTTAATACACAAAGTTGGATGATACCAAGGACCCACATATCAGTGGTTCACTACATTGCAACATATGCTAGGTTATTACTATTTATTGACATACTTGTTATTCTCCGTTGTTTTGTTCGGTCGAATTGTTCAACCTCATAATTAACTTTCAGGTAATATCGAGGTATCCGCATAGGAGCCCATATGCCAATAAAGGTTGAACAATTCGATCCAACAAAACAACAGAGAATAACAAGTATGTCAATAAATAGTAATAACTACTACCCATTGCACAAAAAGTGGCTATCGTTCCTCCATGGCATAGTGGCTGACGGTTTGGCGTCTGAAGCCATGGGTATGGGGTCCGAGTCCTAATGGGGACAGCACCACCGGGGTGTAGGTACATCCGGCTGACGAGTCATAAATAAGACGAAACGCGCGTCATGGATTGTTCTGCTAGCCACAACGACCAATTTATGCTAGGTTAATACGAATATTTTTCATTCTTTGGTTTTACGCCATTAGGTGATCACGTTTTAACTACATCCAGTTAGTCTTAGCTTCAACAGATAAGCCTTCTTGTCGAGGCTGATGGAATAGTATAATGATAAGTTACAAAGAAGGATAGTCAATATTGATGACAAGTAGTCATGTATATCATTGGTTGACTAAATTTTGATGGGATAACTGTAATAGTTAGACCAGTTTTAATATATGTACACATCATAAGATTTAAAATGTTTATATTTGGAAGTTACCTTACAATATATGTAACCAATTCTTTTTCTTAATTCCAGATGAAAGTGAACTGGAACAAGATAATCGATTGGTAGTTTTAAGAAATCAATCTTTATTGAATAAACGAATAAAAGCATTCTCAGCCTGTTCTCCACCAGATATTATGTTATCAAATTCATCGACTGAAATGTCAGTGAAAATATTCCCAAATTTTACTCAGTCTTCATCATCAACATCAATGAAAGAAAGAATTATCAGTAATCGAGATAATAATGATATATTTGCTAATTTATTCTTTGAAAAACTTTCATCTGCACAACCGATAAAATCTTCTGTTTATTGTTCTACATCTTCATATCATGCTAACAAGCATGATAAGTGTACAAAAAAACCTTTATCATATGTATCTTTACAGAATTCACTTCAATCTTCTTCCCTTTTCTCTTCTTCTTGTCAATCTACTTCAACAAGGTCTCGTAACAGTCTATTTAATAATGCCTACAGTAGTATTGGTGCTGATGTGACTGGTAATAATTGCTACGGTACCACCAGTAGTAGTTGTAGTATTTTGCCCATGACATCAGCAGTGTTCAGTGGATCCACCTTATTCAATGCCAATTGTAGTAGTATTAATAGACCGCGTACATCAAGTGATGTAAGCAATATGCGCCGATCGGGCTTCTGTTATTCTGGAAGTATTACACAGCAATCACAAGTGAAACAAAATCAACCTCCAGATAACCATTCATACCAGAATCGATATTTCCATACATCAAATACAATCGGTTGTCAACTGGCACCGAATAGTTTTTCGAGTCTAAAATTATGTAGAGACTTAACAAGTATCACTGAATCTCAGGAAACTGTGAATCCAGTCAGTAGACCACGTGCAGCTACAGTCGGTTGCAATTTACTGTTTGGCAGACAACGATTATCAGCAGCATTGAATCACATAAAATTGAATTGGTCTAAAAAACAATCAACCAGTCAACAGAAATGTTCAATTCACTCTAAAAATATCTCTTCAGATAGTTTAACTACTCATAATAACAAAAGTAGTATACATAGAAAATCGGAAATATCACGAACTAAACATTTGCATATGAAACAAGTTGAAAAAGAACATGATGATGAATACGTTGAAACATTTGAAATGGATATGAATCTTTTTCCTGATAATTTAGAACACTTAACCTGCAGAACAGAAGCAATTCCAGATCTATCAAATCATTATGTGATCTTATGAATGGTAGAAGAAGAAAAAGAAGTGATTAGTAGAATGAACAGAATATATTTTCACTTTTCTCAGGTTCACAAAATAAATATTCACAGGGAATTTCGAGCATTTATCTTTTACTTTATATGTTGGAAGCTTTTCGTTATCTCGTCGATCACCGGTGAAGTATGTCTTAAGGCTTTAAACTATTCATTATATCATGTCAGTCAAAAGCGAAGCTTATTCACCAAGTGAAAACAATTCCATTCCACATAAAGAAGAGTATAGTGTTTCATTTTTAATTCAAACTGTTCCTGTAAATATTATTACTTTTATAAGCATTGTACAATCGAAGAAATAGAGATATTTGTTGAAGTTTCCTTTGTGAATTATTCTTATTGGTTCGTTTTATGTTCATGAATTTCATGAATTACGTAGTGGGATTAAATCCTTAAAATTAATCATTCCCAACTTGTTTAGAATTGGACATGAAGTACCTCAATAAATGAACTGTGAAATGTTGAATACCTCTCTCTCTCTCTCTCTCTCTCTCTCTCTCTTTAATATATATATATATATATATATATATATATATATATATATATATATATATATATCCGATGTATATTCCACTTCTTAAGAACAGTTATCATGTCTTTCATCTATTAATTTAATTTATTTATTCATTTATAATTTGTTATTAAATAATCGACTAACAACTAGTTGGTTATTTCATGATATATTAATGGAGAGCTTTTGCCGAATACAAGAACATTGGCTACACAATGTCAATTTTATCATTATATATACATATATAAATCTATTTTTCATAAATTATTCAATACACGTGCGAAGTGTTGATTTCGGTATTTAACATACCCCTTCTTTTTATCATTTGTTTATTTTTATGTATTTCTGTGCCGATTGTAACTAACTTTTTACTCACATCTGTGTATCGATGCGAAATGAATGAAGTTGGATAGGATGAGTGGGTATCAGTGTGTAATAATATCTAAGCATAAGTTATGAACAGGCGTTTACTATTAGTGGACTACTACTATCATGCATATCGTATTAGTAATACTTTCCTACCGTCTACCGATATATTTTAACATGTATTTAGACTTTAGGTCATCATATCTAATGTTACCTAAGATGGGTTTAGTCAAATATCTAAATAATAGAGAATGAAAACTCACTAATCGGTGGAAGAACCTAAAAAAGGAAGTGAAATACATAAAATTATCATAAAATAAGCGTTTATAATTAATAATTATCCACCAGTTTGTTAAAAAATTTCTTATGAATACATAACAAACTAAATAAGATCATCAATACGAATATGATTAGTAGCGACAACACACATACACACAGCCGCCACTGTGTTACCATATAAGGAATGAACATAAGAAACTTCACGTAGGATTCTCAACAAGGCTGGAATTAGGGTGGTAGTTAAACTTACAAACTCAGTCATATATAAACTATCTTGGTTTACGGATCCAATCGATCCAGCCAGGCAAAATGTATCTGTGAGGTCAGTTACATAGGTCAAACCAACTGATCGGGGTCAGTTAGATTAATGGATCATAGGAATTTAGCTAAATATAGAATAATACACCTCAATAGGATCAGTCATTAAGAAAATACTCAGCTATTGCACTACATCCATTTATTATTAACACATAACCATACAAAATGGAGGGATAAAATTACTGTGCTTAAATCCAATATGATTAAGGGTGAAGGGCGGGGTGGGGTGGAACAGAGAGAGAGAGATTGATTATACTTAGTCTCTTTTCATCGAATCAACACGCACAACATGTAATATGGGAATGATACAACACTTGGATCACAGGCGTGGAAAATCTTATAACCAATTAAAAGAAAGAGTATGAGGTGTGATGGGACTATAAAAACCGATTTTTGAATGTGATGTGAATACACTGAAATGAATGATTTTGAGCAATAATTTATGTTCTACAAGTGATGAAGTAAATAATATTGGATCATTCATTGTTTGTTATATCAAATAAAAAAATCTAGTATGGTATTATATTCTACCACAGTGCCCAAGTTTTACACTTCTACTAACTTATCTTTATTCATAAAAGTTTCTCATTTGGTTCAAACTATACTAACTGTACGGTTAACTAATATAAAACTGAAGCATGAGAGAACGAATAGAACAATCCTGACAATAAGAGATTAAGATTAAGAAAGATGAGAACAAAAAGCAAGGATGATATTATTATTATTTATCCCTGGGGTTCCTAGTTGAACACAGGGTTTCAGTAGCACATAGCCATTTCACTCGCTTCTATGCAGTCTTTTGAACCTCGCTCCAAGACTGGCCTGAGGCTTTTATTTCTTCTTCGCACCATCTCCTCCATGTCACCCTCGCTTCGGACACCCAGCTCGTCGTTTACCATTCGGGTTCCACTCGAGCAGCTGGCCCGGCGCGTGATGTCCCAAACGATCTTCTGAGTGTATGTCCAATCCAACCCAATCCAATCCATCTCCACTTTCTTCCACTTATTTGTTGGGCGATAAGTTGTTGGTTGGTTGGTTCATTGTCAGAGTGAGTTGCTTGTTGCTTATTCTTATTTTCCTGGTCATCTGATCTGATTTGATCTTCAGAATCGAGTGAGCGTAGGCGGCAGCTGTTGATATATGTCTGAAGTTTGTTGGAAATGCTTTCCGTAACACGCCAACTCTCTCAACCACCACATAGAAGCACTGACTTGACTGGATTGGTTGGTGTTGGAAATCCGGATGTTGTTCACACCTTATGCTGAGTGCAGTGCAGTGCAGTGTAGTGTAGTGTAGTGCAGTGCAGTGCAGTGCAGTGCAGTAGATCTCCACACTGATTTCCGATGAATGCAGGAAGGCCTATCTTGGTGTTTTTCCGATGCTGACTGGCTTTGATTTGCTCATCTGTGCCTGTGTCGTCGCCTGTAGTTGAAACGAGGCTACCTATGTAGGTATTTGGTTAGGTGAAAGAGACAACTTCGTTTACACTTCTCCCGTTGATGATTGTTGGTGCTTGTTGTTGTTTGTTGGGTCTCTTCATCACCTGTGTCTTCTGTACGTTCACCTGAAGGAAGTCTTGTCTTCACTGCCCCTTCGTTTCCTCTTCTAGGAACTTGTTAGTTTTTGCCTGTAGATCTTCGAGTTTGTGCGACATAAGACAGAGATAAATGATCGTGGTTGGCGAAATCCAAATTTTCTAGGGTCTTTATCTTGTCATCGGTCCAGCGTACGAAAACTTGTGTAAAGTCATTTCGATGGGACATGTTTAATGTTGAATTGATGAACGTAAATTCAGTGGTCAAATTCTCTCTCCACTTTGCTTCATTAGTTATTATTACTTTAACTCAATCCCACCCAGTCATGTGACTGTATGTTATTCCAGGTATGGTTATGGCTGAATTCTTCCCCTAGATTATACATCTATTAATCTAAACGTAGCTAGTTTTATCGATGTACTTCACTTCACAGTCAGTTCAAGGTAATTGGTGTATGATGTTATCGTCTAATTGGGTCAACATGATCCTTAAACCAAAAATGATTATTTCAGGGAATTTGTAGGTTGAATCCCAACCTAATCCCAGCCTTTTTAAGAATCCTACCTAGGGTTTCCGACTTCCCTTCGTTATTTGGCAACACTAAAGAGGCTTCGAATTCCTTCTTAGTAGTGTTGCAATAATATTTCACATAACTTCTCTTTTTTTTATATATGCTTATGTGTTTCTTAGTAAATTTGGAAGGTAAATTATCAAGAAATTGGTCATTTAGATTTAATACTTAACCTATTTGAGATATTTCTAGCTTAGTTACTTAAAGATTTGACCGAATCTACCTTTACTGGTGTAGCACGAGATGACTTAGGGTCTAGATATCTATTGGAATGCGATCACTCAGTAGAAACTAGTGTCTAAACCACCATCCTGTCTTTCTTCAGGAGGTGCATAACTAAAAATCCTATACGCACTTTCTCTGGTTTGTACCAGGAAAGTGATAAAATAATTCAGCTTTTAGTCTACGAAATGAGGTGAATTTATGTTGGCCAGTGTATACAGAAAGGAGAACATTGAAGGTATGAGATTTTATCAGATAGCTAACGTAACCATTAGCATATATCTTCATTATTTCTTTGTGAGCAAATTAATAAAGAAAGCTAGCAGTACAAATACCCTGAAATAGATGTTACTTAGAAGGAGGCGATCAGTAGGAAGTCCTTCTCGACCTTAGTTTCATGCCTGTTGGCACTCATCAATAAGGCATATCAAAGACGTTGATGAAACTGATATCCCGCCTGGGGTTCGAAACCCCACCATCCCGTGCTGCAGTCAAAGAAGTTATCATAGAGCCATTCAAGCTGCGGTTGACCACCTAGACGAGTGGATATACACAGTGATTGGTCATTGTAGGATGACCAATAGAGTGACCAATTCGTCATAACTTGTTTAGCAGTTAACTTCAATAATATTCCTTCAATGTTCTCTGAACTTTGGTATTTTGTGCTTGCTGTTTACCAAAGGTCAAAAAATATAGAATCATCATCATCCTCTTCCTGAGCTACTAGTGTTTATAAGTAATTTTTTCAATTAAATTGATTCTTTGGAAAAACCACAAGTTCTAGTGAAGTCGACTGTGTCTCCGTTGTGTATTATAAGAACACTAGTCGAGTCACTTGAAAAGGCAATAAAATGCAATCGATCAAAATCCGCCTCCATATTGTTGCACATGTGTCAGATACAAGATTATTATTATTGTTATTTGTCCCTTGGGTTCCTAGTGGAACATACAGCTTCAGTAGCAAATAGCCATTTCAATCTCTTCTATGAAATCTCTTCAACTTGGCTCCACGACTGCCCAGAAGCTTTCATTTCTTCTTCACACGATCTCCTTTGTGTCACCCATGCGAGTTCCTCTAGATAGCCTGACCTGTTGCGTGATATCCTCAAACGGTCTTCTCAGTATATGTCCAATCTATCTCCACTTTCTTCCGCAGATACAAGCTACTAAGTATAATTGGGTGTTTTTTCAATGGTTACATGAAATTCTCCGAAACGCGTATGTCTTATACCTGAGGTTGTGTCCCTGAAACTAAAACTATGAACTTTGAGGAATAGAGTTAGGTACTTCCACTGTCTTGGTTTTCAGTAATGTTTCAAACGATCCCTAGGGACAAATCAACATAAACTAAGAAACTATTGAACATCTGACTGCTCTGAGGCGTTCGATTCACGAGTTTCATGTATCTTTGCAAGCATGTCAGAATTTACCCAATGGATTGGAATTAAACTTTCCACATAATACTACATTTATTGATTCGTAACATAGTAAACCGTTATCCAAGTTCATTGGTAAACATTCGCCGTCACACCCAACTTTACTGACCCCAGCAGTCACAGTTAACTACCACAACCTCCAGAGATCCATTGTGAAGCTATTCAGGAATGACTAATCACTCAACTGCGATCCAACCAAAGACTTATACAAATTTCATTTATTTCAGAGAAGTTTTGTCCATGGATTGACATCGGTTAGAAATTGAATGAAACCACTGAGTAATTCTGTATAACCATAATCCTCAGATTTGCATTCAGCTCTCCTAGTCACTATTATACTGCTATATACCCCCTAATTTTGTATAGCCTTAGCGTGTTTTGTTTTGCCCATGACCTTGAAAATAACCTACATGGTTGTTTTCATACCGTTACAAGTTTTTGTTCCCTCTGTTCTCAAGGCTTAACTCTCATTGATTGTTAACTATTTTTGCCTAAATGTGGATTTAGTTTTGTCACGATCATTTAGAAATGCGTATATTCAGCATGGCTGTCAAATGTATTGACTTTTGTTGAGACAATAAAAATCTCTCAGTCAACAGTTTGTCTTCTCTTCTAGTCTTCGTGCGTTGGTGGTATTGTTATTATGGTGATTGACATTCTGATTTGCACTAGAGTCGATTCGTTTGCGCGTCACGTTCGTAGTCTGCTAGGCTTGATAGCTCTTACAGTGTTAGATCGTAGTACCGGTCATACCACATACAACTTGGTTAATTGCTGCACTATTCAGTCGGTTCTTTGTTGTGTACTGATTACTACTACTAATTATAATAAAATAGAACTGAAGTTTACCACAAAGCCCAAGTTTTACTCCTATATCGAAGAAGACTTAGTGTGTCAATAAACGGATAGTCAGATATCAACCGTTCTTGACTGCCTGACAAAATGATCGGTGGTTAAAGAGAAATCGAAACAACGCAGGTGTGCCGCCTACCTCATTTGGTGTACTTTCAAAAGATTAGCGTGAAAGAAACTGTTTCTAACTTCTTCGCCACCATCTAGGCGTTATATTTCGATTTTAACCATTGTTTTTTTACCAGTATAATCGGTTATATCATACCGCTGTTGATTGGACCCAATTGCTCGATCTCCATTGACATACTGACTTCTGTGCGGATGTCTCGACACTGCCTGTGTTTTAATCCTGCTTAGTCAAGATGGCTAGTGGCTAGCAGTGTGTATTTCGTCCTATTTGGGACTCTCAGCTGGATGCCTGTCAGTGAGTGATGTTGTTCCCATTGGGACTCGAACTCGGAGTCCTACATCAAGAAAAATCTCTCACCCAACACTATCTTAGACAGTCAAATTAAAAATGTTTTGCTATTCATCAATGAGAAAGCTTCTGTATGAAAATATGAGAGTTTGGTTGGAATGTGCGCTCTTACTATTTGTTTCTTTCTGCTTCCAGTCGATAATCTCGCCCAAACCAGATGTGATTGGTATTAATGCGTTACTGATTACCACAAGTGATTCCTGTCATAGGTGAGATTTAAAATCTACAATGTCAATAAACTACGTTTACACGTAACTTGGCTGTTAGTTCAAGCGCATGCACATATACATACATCACTAAGTAATGTAATTACTTCCAGTTCTTGCCCTTGAATACGAATTGTCATATCTCATGTACTGATCTAAGATTATCGAACACACTTGAAATCTGTCCACTAAGCTAAGTTACGTGAGATTGCGATCCTCAGCAATTCGATGCTAGATGTTATCAGTCAGTCTGTAAGAAGTACTAGGCTTGGATTTTGTTCTCCTTGTCATTTATCAGCGAAATCCTTCCACAATCCAGTGTCCCACAACACCTAGCTTAGTAATCGGATTACCAAGTCCATCGATGAATCTCTCTACAAAAATTACCGATCGATAATGAAAGTTGTATCTACTATCATTAACTAACTAATGAATATTGATAGAATGTTACACAATATTAACGCCGTAGATACTTAAATAGTCTGAAAGTTCATTAAGAATTCATAACCAATACGGTTGACTGAAAAGTTTTCAGAAAATTATATGACCATACATACAAATGACAAAAATCAAAGGATATCTTAGAGATTGTAGACACAAAAAATTATCATTTTTTGCATAAACACCAAAACTCACAATAAACATTTTATTACTATTTATTGATGTACTTGTTATTCTCTTTTGTTTTTTTGGATTGAATTGTCCGACCTCTATTAGCATATGGGCTCCTGTGCAGATGCGTCGATGTTGCCTGAATGTTAATTATGATATTATAGTTGGTTGTAGCTAGCAGAAGAATTCAGGAGGCTCCTTTAGTCTTATTTGGGACTCTTCAGCCGGACGCACCTGCACCCAAGTGATATTGTCCCCACCGGGACTCGAACCTCGTACCCGTCGCTTCAAACGCCAAGCCATCATCCACTAGGCCATGGAGGAACGATAGCCACCTTTTGTGCAACGGGTAGTAGTTATTACTATTTATTGGCATACCTGTTATTCTCTGTTGTTTTGTTGGATTGAATTGTTCGACCTCTATTGACATATGCGGATACCTCGATATTGCCTGAATGTTAATTATGATAAATTGGTTGGTTGCACAAGAAGTGGCTATCGTTCCTCGATGGCATAGTGGCGTTTGAAGCGATGGGCATGAGGTTCGAGTTCCGGTGGGGACAATATCACTTGGGTGCAGGTACATCCAGTTGACGAGTCCCAAATAGGATGGAAAGCGCGTCCTGGATCCTTCTGCTGGCCACAACCAACCAACGTATCATATACATTTCTTTGTTGTACCGCTTTTTTATTTTATTTTTGCTCAAAACAACCATTGTTTAAAGTGTCATCTAATGCTTACTGTTCCAGAGTTCATAAATGTACTAATAATCCGCGTTGCGTTAAATATTCCAGTCCTACAAATGTTAAGTGGTAGGCTGTAGAGCTGAATGGTGAAATCTTTGACTTCAGAACTGATTTACTACAGGCAAAAATTCTTCAGTGAACGTGAGTTTTATCCCAGCTGAAGATGCAACTTTTCACGGAATGATAATGATGAAGATTCAATTTCAAAATATATTATCTGTTGTTATCTGCTGAGACTTGTATTTACTCGTTTTTACTCATACTAGATCGAATCGCTCCTTTTCTGTTGCCATATGGGCACCTACGTGAACGTCTTAGTACTGCCTTAATATTCATTACGTTGTATTCATCTTTGTAACTAGCGGTGGAATCGAGAAGGCGCATTTCTTCCGGACATTTCCACACCCCAGTGTGTATGATGTTATACCCATCGCTTGAAACCGCAAAATAATATCCACCAGACACCCACCCCTTATGAAATGAGTATCAGTTGCTGTTGTTGCTTGATACCTGTAAATTCTTGGTTGCATTGTGTTCTCTAAGATGAGTGGTTTAATCGTGAAGCTTTCATCGCCTTACTTGACGTCATCATCAGCATTAACCTCGGGATGAAGTGAGCTGTCAATATCTCTCCACTAGTGATTTAGTAGCTTGCTCTGACGAAGTGGTCTGTGATTGGTTGTTTCCTTTGATTGTTATGTATAGATTGACTGTACAGACTTTCCTGTTGGCTGTTCCTCTACTTGACCTCTCACCTTTATGTCGTTTATCATTTTTCTTATTGGTTGATAGATTGGGTCTATGTCTATACATCTATTGATCGCTGACTGACATGAATGCCAAGCTTCTAGGAATTCTCTGATATTCTCTGTGTTTCCTCTCTCCATCTAAAATTTCTACATTGTTGAAATTGAATTCATGTCCATGGTTGTTATCCACGTGGATTGATATGAGTGATGAAATGTCGTGGCGTTTAATAGCCAATTGGTGTTCATGTAGACGAAGGTGAAGAGAGCGACCACCTTGTCCAATGTAGTGTTGACTACAGTAATTCCAGTTGATTTTGTAAATGATATTCCGTTTGTCTTCTTTGCTTGTCTCATCCTTTGGTCTGCATGATAGTGTCTGCAGGGAATTAGTTGGTTTATGAGCCACACCAATTCCAAGTGGTTTGCCTCAGTAATCTTGTCATGATTTCTGATATATTCTGTATGTATGGTAGGACGATGCGTTTGTTGATTTCTGTTGATGACTTTGTAGTTGATGATGTACGGGATAGGCATGTTGTAATAAAGTTTCATGGGTAGCCGTCCTTCTTTAGGATAAACATCAAGTGATTTTCTTCGTTTCTCCGTGAAGTTGTTGTACTGCAGTGTGTTCTCGCTCCTCTGAATAGAGTCTGCATGCAAATGATCTTGTGATCTTGTGGGTTGTTGTGGTGTTGCTATTGTCGCTGAGGATTCGGTCAGTGTGTGTTGGCTATGTGTACACTTGGGTTTCAAGCTTCCCCGTATTTATTCTATTGACCAGAATATCCAGAACAACAGGAAAATCTATACAGTCAATCCATACATAACAATCAAAGGAAACAACCAATCATAGACCTCTTCGTCAAGGCAAGCTACTAAAACACTGACGGAGAGATATTGACAGCTCACTTCATACTGAAATTAGTGCTGATGATGTCATCTAGAAGGACGATGAAAGCTTCACGATTAAACAACCGAACTCCTCAGAGAACACAATACAACCAATATCATCCACCTGAGCTACAGATATTCTCGACTACCTGTAAATTCGCCTTGCTATACAAGATTGACTTGATCGACCTCTTTCCCATTCTTCTTATGCATTACACTTCACCGTGATATTTCATTCAGAAATTGATACAAAATTAAGTAAGTAAGAAGTAAGTGGATAATAAAAACGTTTTATATTTTCTTTATATGGACAGATTTTATCACAGGTTTTCTGGAATTTTATAAAAAGTTTACGACATAACCGTATAGTGTTTTCATCAGGTTTGAAGTTGTTTGGAATAAGTTGAAGATTTTTCAACTGATCTGTATAATCTCCAGTAGGATCAAGTTTATCTGTACAATAAAATACTTTTACAATAGCTTCCCATTTATCCGAATAATCAGTGTATAGTCTTTCAAGGGTTTGATCATTTGATTTTAAATATTTATAGGTGAATAGTTCACTTTTTGGTTCTGAATACTTGAGAAATGTGATTAATCTACCGAATAGATTACAGGCATCATCTAACAGCATATTTTTTTCATTGTTTGTAAGATATTTACCACAGATATGATAAGTCATAGGATCTTCGTTCACTTTCTGCCATAGTTTACCAAGACGTATCAATTCATCTAAACGCTCCATATAATAGAAACATTTTGATTGAATTAACTTATTAGCTATTTGAACAGCTACTTTTGTACGATTCCAACCAGCTGGAATTGATTGAAAACATTTCATCATATCAATATTTAACTGAATATGTGTTAATCCTAGAGTTCGAACTTCGCGTAATTGTGATTTTAAACAACATCGAATTGTTACTTCATGTAAAATATGAATTTTAGATATCCAACTACTTGTAATAGCCATAATTTGTAGTTTATCATTATCATTTGTAATTCCATACATATTCATTGCTTTTGTATTGATTAGATCATTTGCATATTTACTGAGTAATTTAGGCATAAGACAACCTTCTTGAAAGTAATTAATAACTCCAGCAATCATTACTTCTAAACAGATTTCTGACATTTCAGGTTTAAGTATACCTTTTAATTCATTTGAAGTTAACAAATTTTCACGTGTCCATAAACCATAACGCCAATTACCATCAGGTATTGATGTTATATTTATTTCATTAGGATTATTAAAGACATTGACTAACGGTAAAGGATAACTATTTCTATGAATATTAGATTGTTGAACAATAGGGATTTCTGCTAACAAACTATAAAGTATTGTACAGTTAGCAGCATTAGCTAACCAAATTCTCATTGGTTCACTAAAATAATTACCAATAGTTTTATAAGCATAAGCGGCAGTACAACCTGCTATTGTACACCATGATTTTATACGATTCATTGATTTATCATCATTCATAGGGATATAATGTTTATCTAATAATAATCCATAAAATAATAATTTTTTATCCAGCTGTAAATTTTCCACTGTTGTACATTCAAACTGCCAATGAATAGTTTGAAGGGTATCTTGTAAACTAGAAATATTTGTCCAATTAATTTTGGTCATTTGATGAAAGATTTTTCTTTCAAAGAGAAAAAACAAAACAATAATAGAATATATTTTTGAGATGAATGGGGATTTTTTAATTTAGAAATAGTATTCATCATGGACTGAAGTCAGTTGAGGCACCATTGAAAATCTGAGAGTACTGGAAAGATGTTTCATCCTAGTATGGGACTACTTAGCAGTAGGCACGCATGACCCGGCTAGGCATCGAACTCAGGAACTTCAGGTTTCACGATGAACGTGTTAACCATTCAGCCACTGAGTCAGTCTCCAGTGGTTCACAATTTCCAACTTCTAACAATTCACGACATAGTGTGACTATCACCCAAGGTCTTCAGTTAGCATCCACTTCACTTCTGACTGGTTGACGCCACAGGTCATGACTTCTCATTAGAGCTTCCTGATATCCATCTGGAATCAAGTCACTGATAACGGATTAAAGAGAAGCCGTAACCTGTGGAGTCAACTAAATGAAAGGAAATTGGATCCTATATGAAGACCTTGGGTGATAGTCGCGCTATGTTGTGAATTGACACAAGTTGGAAACTGAAAACCAATGGAAACTGAGCCAGTGGCAGGATGGTTAACGCTTTCGACGTGGAACCTGAAGATCCTGTGTTCGATCCCTTGGGGTGTCGCGGGTGCGTACTGCTGAGTTGTCTCATACTAGGACGAAACAGCTGTTGAGTGCTCCCAGATTTTCAATGGTTCTCCAACTGATATCAGTCCATGATGAATACTACTTCCAAAATAACGTAACATTAAAATTTTTATGAAATGTAATATTCCTTTTCTTTTTTACAAGTCATTCAGGTGAAAAGTAACTGTGTAAAATTTGTTTGAAATTCACCAAGAGTTAAATATTCAATGGTGGATGGAACGAGACCAAAGAATAAAAAATATTCTAGATTTATACATCCTCTACCAATTTTCGTTACTTCAGCCAATCTGATATTTACACATTGGTCCATGTGTTTTCTCTTGAAACTTCGGTGTAATATTATTGATTGTAGAAAGCTTTAGGGATTAACTGCTTTTTATAAAGATTATCGCAATCTTATTCCACATTGTAACAAAGAACCGCGGGAAAAAAGAGAGAACTTCTTCTTCAGAAATCACTGAATTACATTACAACCGATGCTTAAATATCATAGTTCTTCGTCACATCGAAGTCACTACCTAAAAAGTCTTAATTAAACGATGTAACTCAACATGAAATACGGCAAATTGTAGTACCAACCATTTAAGAACAGAAAGCATTAAAAACACTGAATATGACAGAGAGATTAATAATACTTCTGACCGACAAAACACAGTTCGCTGTAGTCATCGACAAGGAAGACTACTTCTAGACGGTTAAGAATTTTTTCAAAATTTCAACAGAGCATAAGAACCCTAAACAAAATCATCAAAGAAGGGCAAGAAACAAAACAAGGTTATTGTGGAATATAACTGTAGACTGAAACGATACAAACCAGATATTCGTCTACTATCAACAGTCCTACTTTCAAGAACGTTGGCCTGGAGAAAGCTTTCGAAGAGACTGATATATCTTGTGTAGTCGTATGAACTTTTCATGGAATCATCAACGCAAAGTTTAAGAAAAGATAAAATGGAATTCACATAGATATTATTATTTATTGATATACTTAGTGTACGAGATCGTTCTACAATAACACCATCAGAATTGTTATGAAGAATGCTGTGTAACTCTAGCCTGGAACGCTAGTTTCCATTGAATAAACAGTTCCATCCTAACGTGATACCATTGAACGACTTCTTATACAACGTTGAATGCTTGAGTAGATGATGAAGGCAACAGAAGTAATTATTTTATAGTGAGGTAATCAATGACTTGAAATGTTTAATGAGTCTGCCCTGTAACTATGAATGGATACCAAATTCTTGATTTCAGCTAGTTAACCATAATTAATTCTCTCCAAAAAGAAGGAATCTCAACTTACCCCATATAACAATACTGATATCAATAAGTTGTTCATCTGTGTCACAGTTCTTTAAACGACTTCCACCACATAGCACAAGATTTGTCAGTACACTTTGTTCAACGCTAACAACTTGACAGTTACATTGGTTACAATCGATCCCGTGACCTACTCATTCAGATAAGACAGTCTTACAGATAATCATTCAGTCGTGACAAGAATATGATGTTGGTATGGTTCATAACTTAGGTTTCGAGTAATAATATGGGCTGGGATTCTCCAGCTAATATGACTTCAGTGAAGGTAGTAGATGCGTATTTCTCATGAATAACAGCAGGCAAGAAACATGAGTAAAACACGGTTGCCTGACGACTGACTCCCAACACTGAACACGTAGAAGATTATTAACATAATGATTAAATGTGTCACTAATACCTGAAAAATACTAACTTGTAGATTCATATTGGTTATGTCTGTAGTAATGATTATATTTATACGAAATATGTTAAGTGTTATTTCTGTATTGTTATGACTTGAAGTATTAATGAAGCACACGATAAACTTACTAGACGAGATAACTATTGATAAGCTAATGTTCCATACAAATGAAGACAACTGCACGTTTACTACACTCAGCGATTACAGGGTAGAACATCGATAAAACTAAGGTTAAATCAACTTCATTGGTTGATTGTATGAATAACCTTGAAAGTGACCAGCCAGCCAATCAATTAATTGGTAAGCTCTGTAAAATCAATAACATTCTAAGCTTATTAAAGATCGGAACATGTTGATTTGCTGAGTAAAACCATGTGACAAGTAACAAATGGAATTTGTAGCTTCTGTAAATGAATGCTGATGACATTGTGTGAATTAATAAGCACTTAATATGATGAACAAATAGCAGGAATCAAGGTGTGATTTTAAAGGCTATCCTAGCAACTACTGAGATAACCAATCAGATTTTGAAATTTCGGCTGGGTAAGTTGTTTTTGATTAAAAATGGTTATCTCAGCAATTGTTAGAGTGGTATATAAAGTAGCTCAAAAATTGTTTGAAATAGGAATGAGAAGTGAGGAAAGGTGAATACAGCTGGAGTTAGTTCTATATATACAGAAAGTAGGTGATAGTAACGCAAGTTTTTACCTTCTTTAGAATTTCTCAAAAAATCTCCATGAGAACATACAAGAAAATGAAAACAAGTGGTTTATCGAAGATACTCTATTCACCTTCGGTTTCATTATCCATTATTCTCAATGGGTTTTCGTGTAAGTTCATTATCATATGATATTGATTCATTTCACATATCTGATAAATCTCTACCGGTAAGTTTATATCAGAAAGATGACTCCATTATCCAGGACAAGATTATTTGTTGCAAATTTACTTAAGTCTCTTTGTTTATGAAGTCAAATGTCAAAGTTACATTTCACCCAAAACGCTCATTTTCCCTATGCTGGAACGATGTTAGTTGGCAAATAGATCGCTCTGAAGATTGGAGAGATTAGTTCCCCGCTAATCGGTCAAGTCTTTATTATCCAATTATAGTAACAGCAATAATAGCCTCACTCCAGACAAGATTTATGGTACAGTATAGAATTCTCAGCAACCTCGCCTGGTTAACTAGTTCACTAATTACTAGCCGGTCCTAAGCCCGGGTAAAGAGGGAAGGTTGGGCGTAGGGCTAGCATAGCAACCCTACCCCGTAAAACAAATCCAACCGCTACAGAAACTTCAAAGCACAAACAAAATATAAAAAATAAAAACAGAATTACTCCTCTCTGGAATCGGAGAGGCGGAAGGACGTCGGTTGGTGAAAGCCTTCGGGAAGCCAATTAGCCAATGTTTCTTCTCTCGATGAAAGGGAAAGTAAACGTGGGGACATGGAATGTCCACACCATGTTTGAACTCATCAAGGCTGCCCAGATTGCAAAGGAGATGAGAAGGTATCACATTGAAGTGCTAGGAATCTGCAAGAGCAGATGGAATGGGAGTGGACTCTCCAAACTATCAATTGGAGAATCAATAATCTACTCCGGTCACCCAGACGACAACTGCGAGTGCAGCACACTGAGTTTTGGAGTGGCCAGCATGATGTCCCCAAGAGCAACGAAGGCTCTCATGCGTCGGAACCAGTCTCTTCCAGGATCACAACAGCCAGGTTCAACTCAAAAGGAAGGAAAGTGGAGATGGATTGGGCATACACTGAGAAGGACGACTGGGAACATCACGCTCCAGGCCACACCCTCGAGTGGAACCCAGATGGGAAACGACGAGTTGAACATCCGAGGAGGGGGTGGCATGGAGGAGATCGTGTGCGGAAGAAATGAGAGTTTGTGGACAGTCGTGGCAACAGGTTCAAAAGATTGCAGAGAACAGAGTGGAATGGAGACGTGCTACTGAAGCCCTATGTTCTATTAGGAACCCAAGGGATAAATAATAATAATAATAATAGAATTCTCAGCATGTAATAGTTCAGCAAACTCATACCCTGTAAATTATGTTTAAACGAAGTATTCATCACACTTGAATAGTGTTAATATTAACGTTAATAAAAGGCATAATGTAAACAATACAGCTGGTATTGTATCAGCATCTGGTTTGATTTGGTGGGTGAATAGAATATCAAGCGTATTTTTGGTGGTGGTAGTTCATCCAACCACAACCGAAATCTATAATTCAATATAGTTAACCAAGGAATTGTAAAGTACTGTGTTTCTGTGCATTTATAAGCACATCTCTTATCGTCGAATCGTTTATTGTTGTTGTTAGCTAGAAAAATAACAGCTTGACACTGTTTAAAAGGTATACAAGATTACTTCACACGTTTAAACGACATATCTAAGAGGATTAAAATTAGTAAAAAAAAGGCAAGAATTCGATGAAGTATATTCGGTGGAAAATGTCACACAAACTTGAAAATCTACAGGCGAAAACTAACAAGTTGGCAGAAGAGGCAGCGAAGACGGGACTTCAGGTGAATATAGAGAAGACAGGAGTGATGAAGATACCGCAGTAACAACTCCAACAACAACAACAACAAACTCCAGTCACCATCAACGGGAGAAACTTAAAGGAAAGAAGTCTCTTTCACCTATCTAGGCAGCACAGTTTCAACTACAGGTGGCACAGATGAGAATGTCAAAGTCAGAATCGGAAAAGCAAGACAGGTGTTCACTAGATCTTCTCCACTCAGCATAAAACGTGAACAACATCCGGGTTTTCAACACCAATTCAGTCAATTCAGTGCTCCCATATTGTTCAGAGACTTGGTGAGTTACGAAAGGCATTTCCAACAAGCTACAGACATTCATCAACAACTGCCACCTACGGTGGCTCGTTACTGAAGCTTAGATGGATTGCCAGAAAGAATAAGCAACAAGGAGCTCTGGGAACGAACCAACCAAGAACCTATCACCCAACAAATATGCAGTGGAAGGAAGTGGAGGTGGATTGGGTATACACTGAGAAGACTGACTGGGGATATCACGAGCCAGGTCAGACCCTCGAGTGGAATCCCCATGGGAAGCGACGAGTTGGGGGTCAGTGCCGAGGGTGACATGGAGGAGATCGTGCGAGGAGGAAATGAGAGCTTCTGGCTGTCTTGGAGCCAGGTTCAAAAGATCTCAGAGAACAGAGGTCACTGGAGACGTGCTACTGAAGCCCTATGTTCCACTAGGAACCCAAGGGACTAATAGTAATAATAATATTCTGTGGAAAATTTTCGGTAACGCAAAGTTTAAGCAGGACGCCTTGAAAAATTTTGTTCTCAAGGTGGTAAATGATTCTGTTCATTTTCGAGATGCTTTAGACAACTATTATTATCCGCTACTCATAAACAAAAATTATTGTTTAGATATCTTGACCATTTTTCAATTTACTATAACTTTAACTATCTAATATAACCGTGGTTTAGGAGACTAGTATATATACTACGTGACGATTGAAGATGAAATGAAAGTTTTGGACTGCGGACTTGCCAAAAGTACTACAGTTTGTCAATGGGTATCACTGCTTGATCAACTTTACAATGGAGTCATACTCAATGTATTATTAACGAGAAGCAATGACAGCATTCTTTAGAGATTCATCTATGAAAAATCTAGGTGGAATGGAGAAACTTTAACAGTTGGCTTCTCAACCACAGAAAAATAAGTTTAATTCATTCTCTTTCTCTTCGAATTTGGAAGATTTCAACTCCAAACACTTTACAAAGATGAAATTCAACTTCTATGTTCGACAATCATCAGAAATGGATACTTAGGGAGATTTAGAAGGGGGAAGAAATCTGTGAATTTTGAACATGGAATTCAATGGAGACTTAGTAGGTGAAATACTAAAACGTGACCCGTGTAAGATTGTCAAGGGAACATACGCTGAACGTGAATTCACCGACTAAAAGTTGATGAAGATAACTTCTAATTATATCTGTGTCCATTTATGACTAATATGGTCAAATTTGTTTCTATTCAGTACATAGACATGCGATAACTTGATATGGCTTTATTTTCTGATGAGGCAGTTGTCAAGAGGAGATCCATCAGTACTACAGAGTGTCTTATTTCTATCTTCAATCGTGCACCATACAACTCAGTCCATGTCAAATATTATTTATCTGTTTGGGGAACTGTTGGAAACCTCGTAGCACCAGACAAATGTTTTATCCTTGTGTGCGACACGTCAGCAGTAAGCACACATCATCTCGCCAGGGGTCGTACTCAAGAACTTCAACTCTCGTATACAGTACGTTACCATTGATCTAGTAGGTTGGAATCCATACTTTCTACTTCTGTCATTTCACGATATAGCGTGTATCTTTTCATTCAATGCAATCCTTGAGTATTTTTGTCCTGACGTCCAACTTAGTTTGCTCCACCGGTTACGAATTCTCATTCATGAAGCATTAGATTGAAAAATAAAATAATTCTGTTAATTTATTCTTTTTTACATGCAAAGAAGTACAATATAGCTTTACAACGTTGAAAGGTGACAAGAAGCGACCTAAAAAGAAATCATCATTCGAAGTTATCGGCCCCTAAGGTAGATGTTTTGAATTTCAACCTTGTCTCATGGAAAAACCTTATTGGATAACCTTGTCCTTCAGCTGACCAATCAAAATGAGTACTCAACTTGTGACCCAGTAACTTGATGTTTTGAGGAAAAGTTGTATCTAAATGAAGTAATTCTTGTCAAAAAAAATTATTTTCCTTACAGTCACTGGCTGGTCTCTGTTTACTGTTTTTTGCTGCTTAGTGAATTATCAGGAGTTTGAGGGGGAACAGTCACCATTCGTATCCAGTCCAAGTGTCTCATTGGGTTAGTAGCGTTCCTCGTATTATTCTATCAGTCACTTCGACTCGGTCACTTCAGAAGGGGATGATGAATTCATATTTTCCGACTAAGCATATTTCACATTTAATCAGCTATCCTGTCACACATTCATAGTACCGAGAAGTCTTTATCTATTGATCTCAATTCCTAATCAAGAAGAAATCTAGAGCAAACCTCTTAAAAATAACAAGTTGAATCAGAACAAATCACCAGTCTTTAGCATAATTGCTTTTATATCATACCGTTGTTGAGTGCGAACAATATCAGTCACTGGGAAGCAGGTACATCCAGCCGACGAGTCTCAAATAGGACGAAATATGCATCCTAGATTCCACTGGTAGCCACAATCCATCAATAACATCACCTGTCTTTGGTTGATATAAAGAGTGACTTAGTCAACTTCACCTGACCTCAGTGCATCACAGTACAGGGAAACAGTGATGATAAAAGACAAAGAATTACAAATAACTCAATGAAAGTCGTAACTGTAAGGAAAGACGAAGAGCTTATGGGCTCTTGAGCGGATGCCTCGATACTGCAATATAGTTCAGTTGTTTATTAATACAAGCAACAACATTAAAAACTATACCTGTCGCCCTAGTAATGGCTATCGTGGCTCCGAGGCCTAGTGGACGACGCTCTAGCGTTTGAAGCGGTCGGTCCCGAGTTCGAGTCCCAGTGGGAACATCACCCCTGGGAGGCAGGTACACCCAGCTGACGAGTCCCAAATAGGACGAAACGCGTGTCACGCTGGATTCCACTGCTAGCCACTATCCACCAAGAGGAAGAGCTGTAGCCAGCACTAAAGTGTTGCGTGAAGCGGTTAGGGCTGGCATAAACTCTGGATGCATATACACCACTGAAATCAATTCGCAAGAACCATGTCAGATAGTCTTCAACCATCGGTTTCAAGTACCATCTAGAATCTAACCTGGAAGTCTACGTATCTTTTAGATGGCTAAGATAAACAGTTACAGACTGATGACATGTCCATATGTTGTTAGTTGTATTACCTCGTGGTTGGTTGAATCAAACTGATTGTCTACAGGCAATATCGAGGGATCTGCACAACAGCCCATATCCCAATCACCGACCAATCATTGATATGATTATGAGCAATAATTTATGCTCGAAACGTAATCAAGTAAATAATACTGTCTGACTGTGCGCTTTATATCAAATAAACAAATCTAATATGGAATTACATTCTACCACAGTGCCCAAGTTTTTCACTTATATTAAAAGTACCAACATACAGACTGCACGCGTTGCACAAGAAGTGGCTAGCGTGACCCGGTGGTCTAGTGGAAAACGCTCTGGTGTTTGAAGTTATCGGTCCCGGGTCCGAGTCTTAGTGCCAACAGCAACGATGACTGGGAGGCAGGCACATCTAACTGACGAGTTCTAAGTGGGACAAAACGCAGGTCAGTACAGTAAACCCAGATTTAAAGATAGTCAATTTGGAAGCTCGTGGGAATTTATTGATTTCAGGTTGATATCTAGAGGAGCATTGGAAACCCGGGAGGACTGAGCAACTGTTTTGTCCCAGTATGGGACTCTTCAGCAGTGTGCACCGACGACCCCGTCAGGAATCGGACACAAGGCCTCGAGGTTCCATCGCCAGCACGTTACCATTGAGCCACTGGGTCGAAATCCAATAATCCACATTTCCTACTTCTGTCAATTCACATTGGAGTGCTACCTCCATCCAATGCTGTCATTGAGTAACTGTCCTCCTTTTCAAATTAGTTGACGCCCCCCGGTCATGACTTCTCACCAAAACTCGAGGGATCACCTCTCGAAGCTAGTCACTAATGAGCACTAGATTTATTCATTCTGGAGGTTTTTGAGAACTTATTAATTTTGGTGGTTCATTGGTAAGGTGTTCGCCGCGAATCCTGAAGGCCCTGGATTCGATCTCTGGAGGACGGGGTCATGGATGTGCACTGATTAAGAGTCCCATACTAGGGCAAAACAGCTGTCTAATGCTCCCAAGTTTCCAATGCTCCTCCAACTAATATCAGTCCATGATGAATATCAACCCGAGGTGATCACTTTGTTGAAAATAGTATACCTTGGGGCAAAATATACACTCCAGAATTCCAACACAATTGTTCAACCAAATTTTGTGATAAGTTTAAAGAATCAAACTAAGAAAAGGGGCGACTTTAAAGGTCACCCTAGCAACGATCGAAATAACTAAATAGGTTTCTTCATTTCAATTGGAAAGGCAAATTTTCATAAAATAGAGAAGTTTGGTTGGTTATTTCAGTTGTTACAAGGGTAGTCTTTAAAGTTAATCAAGAAAAGATAACAATCCACTCTTGTAATGCTATTCCACATCTCATCAACTCATAGTAAAATGTTGATCAAATTTTTCTTATGTATCTCAGTAACCTAATCATGTTCTACAAGCGCAGTATTCAGAAATATCGTTAACTTACCATTTAAATTTCAATGAATAGTTTCATAGTAAACAGAAATAACATTGGTTACTTAAGAAGTCAAATAAACTTTTCTTTTAGATCACGTTCAACTCGAACCCTTAACGACAAACACATTTCAACATCCTTTTTCCTCTGGGAGTTAATCCTGATTTGTTTAAACACCGTGATTTCAAATGAAAGAATCATAGGCATCAATTGTTCCACCATCATAGGAGGGTGATTATTCTTCTTACAAATGGTGTGTGTATAGTTCATGGATATTTATATATCTGTATCCAGTTTGACAATCGGCAGAAATCCTCCTACAGGATGTCAGTCACGGCCCGAATATCTCAGTGGTTATATCGCTAACTACAAAAGTGAGTGAAGCAAATTCGAATCTCACAAGGGCCATCAATTCCTTCAAGGTTCCAGATACGACCTGCTGACGAGTCCTAACAAGCACGAAATTTAGGTGGAGTATGGCTTCTTGTTGAATGACTTCAACTCACTAGAATTCATCAATGTGTCGTGAGAGTGAACCTCCTAGTCTAGTGGCCATATTGGGAAACGATCGACAGAATTCGGTCTGCTGCTCAAGACCAAACAACATGACATTAGTTGATCTGCAATGACCAGTCAACCTTGACAATTCTTTATTTAAATTGGTGTTGGGCGCGGACTGATATACGTCGGAGAAGCATTTAAAACCTGGAATCACTGTTTTTTCCCAGTATGGAACCTAGTGGGAGACGAGCATAACCTCGCCAACGATCGAACCCAAGTTGTTTAGGTTTCACGGCAAGCACGTCACCACCAAGCTACTAGGTCGGGATCTAATGGTTCAATTTCCTAATTTTGCTAGTTCGCGACACAGTGCGACCTTCATTCAATGGCATCGTTGAGTATCTGTTCTCACGTTCAACTTTGTTTGCCCCACTGGTTATGACTTCGGCTTAGAACGTCGGGAAATCTCATCTTGAAGAAAGTCACTAATTACCACTGGACAGTATTTCATGATACGTATTTGTGAGGATTTCTCGTTTTCAAGTTAGTATTCATCATATAAAGAAACATTGGTATGCTCCCAGGCTTTCAATCCCTACAAGCCTCCAAATTAAATGCTTTATTCCTTCGGTGTCTGCTTTAAAATCCTACTCCTTGTTATATACCTCTAATTCTGCCTAACTTATGACTGGTATTTGCCTATCGCCTTAAAAAACTTAATTATTGGTATTTCTGAGCCATATTAGTGGGATGAGACTAAAATTTATCCCCAGGTGTTATAGCATTCTATCTAAAAATCTGTATTTTCTCTGTTATGTATACATATATTCTGAAGCAAAAACTGCACTCATAAGTCCTTTCGGGAGTAATTTGAAGCTTCAGCCAACTCACTGTGATCTGACAGCATCATTCATCTTGAATAACTGTGCTTACTTTCCACCTAAGAAGTGGAAGTGCAGCTAACACTTTACATATGAATAAACAGTTTGAAACAGGATTCAGTGACAGATAGGATTGTAAAAATCATGCAAATAGGTAAAATATTCATACAGGACACAGAAAATGCTCATATTTTCACAAACAACCTTACAATCTATCAATCTAGCCTCGCCCCTCTTAGTGCCATTATTAGATTTCGTTTTCTCCGCTGCTTATGAGGTCTGAACTCTCATTGGTTGTTGACTCTTAAATCATCAGTGAATTTATTGTTTTTCAAGGTCGTTTAATAATGTATATATTCAGCATCATTCTCAAGCTTTCTATCAACCATCCATCTTCTCTACGCGTACTGATGGTATTGTTAGTGTATGGTGGTTGACATTCTGATTTCAGTAGATTGTTTTGTGCACATTTGGTTCATATCTCTAGTAAACTGTTAGGTCACATTTCTAGTTATAGAATTCCTCCTCTACAACATTATTTAAAGATTATACAACAATTCAGAGAACAAAAAAAAAAGATTTTACAATTTAAATCAATTTTTTCAGTTTATTCACATCTTGATAATAATTGCTAATCGACTTACATGAGAACCATAAAATTAAACTGATACATTCAAGGCTTAAAACACTGAATTGTACAATTCGATATAATGATATTGCTAAATTGAATATACTCAATAATAAACATAAGGCTAATAATTTACAAGAAAATATTAAAAGGTGATAAATTTTCATATTATTATAATAGTTATATACAATAATGTTGTTGCTGAAATTCATATTATTGTTGAATAGAACTACTGATGATGATGATGATGATAACCATGACAATGATTGAATATGTACCATATCGAATTGTAATAACCATATTAATATACGCAAAAGAATCAATGAACTTGATATCAAATGATTCAATCTTATTATGGATGTATAATGATGTAATAATATACCAGATAGGCTAAAATATAAAAAAAAATGAAAAACTGTTCAATTTTACATACTTTAGTCAAGTATAGATAATCAATATAATGCTCCTTATCTCTTTAATTCAGTTAAATTTGAAGTTATAGATGAGGAGTCAGTGTAAAAATACAATTAAGCAATAGTAACATGTTATGAATTTAAATAGCAATCAGCTATCAAGTTTACTAGTTCAGTTGATAGAACCACTACTACTTAAAGTAAATCTAAGTGGGTTTCGAACCAATGACCCATAAGTTGATGGTCAACTGCCTAATCCAATGAACAAAGTTCAACTAAAAACGGAAGTATAATTACTTTAAGTAACATGTAATTAAACTTGATCAGAATCCGATATTCTAATAAAAATCTACACTTAAGTACCAACTCTCAACTAAACTGATACATATCTATTCTCGGCCTCTTTATTATTAAGAGTTATTCACCTTGGGATCCTATTATGTAACTTTAATTTCAATGGAAAGATTTTCAATGACTAACAATCATATCACTTTTACCAAATAGAAAACTTGTGCCTTTTAAAGATCTATTGATTGAAAAATCAATTTTTACAGGAATGATCAACACATTTATCAAGTTCCTTAATCGATATTATAGTTGACTATGAAACTATAAAGATGAATCAATTGCTTTACTCTATATGGATTAAGTTCGTAGATGGTTTAGGGTGGTCAGATGTAGGTAGACATAGCATTAGTCAATGAAGTCACCAACTGTTAATTTGAGTCTTGTTGAAAGATGTAGACTAATTGAGTAAGATTTCTGAGATGATAGAAATCAGTAGTTGAGAAATATTAGTGACATGTTTGAAAATTGATAAGAATAACATCTTCTAAAGGCTAATTGTTATCTTCAAATTATTTATCCTTTCATACAATTTTGTATATTTCAATATCATCCACTTTTCTATTCACTTGTTCTTTGTATGTTACTGTGAAGTCTAGAAAATCGAACCGATAAACTTGTTTCCAAGGTTCTATATTGATTCTGTATATCTTCATCTTATCAGTGATTTATTTGGCAAAAAAAATTCAATACATATGAAAGGTAAAACGATAATGGTGTGTAATGTATAAGTTAACAAAGTCTCAGTATCGTCAAATAAGATACTGATAAGGCAGTTAACTATAGAAAAATAACGAGTATCAGACACATAGTTTCTCTTGTCTTGAAACTTGGCACTCTAAATTGCTTATAATAACAAGAATCACTGAATGAAAAATTATTAAAGTGCTTGTCTAATTCTCAAATCCCCAAATCAGATGAAATCAAATGTACACAAAAATATCACCAAGAAGCATAAGACAGATTCATCCATTCATCTAGATCAACCTAGAACCAGGCATTACTGCTTAACGGTCCAACTGGCCGCACCTTATATCAGTGCATCAAGTAAAAAGGCAGTGAAGTGGAAGATGAAGATAAGAAAATTCAGTCAAAAGAAATATAAAGTATGAAAAGAGAGAAACGAAGAATGAGAAAGTGGTGAGATTCGGTATAGCCTCGTCAAGATCAGGATAATGTGTGTGGGGATACATCTGCACCACTGACATCAGTTCTCAGCCATATCACCTAGAGTCTCCAACCACTGGTTCCTCTTGTCACATGGACCCCAACCACCTAGTCTGCATCGCTCCACACGGCTTAAACCAACCAACAATCAGAGACTTCATACATTGGTGCCATGTTTTAGTCTGTCCGTGCCGAACCTTTTTCCAGTCTGGACCTACTTCGGCCAACATTGTATGACGAAGTGATCGGCAAATAGGCATACGAAACACATATGTCCGAGCTAACCATCTCAGTCGATGAAGGTTCACAACGTCGTCAACCGACTTACCTCTTCTCCTTAAAACTCTACTCCTGACTTCTACGTTACTCACGTGGTGACACCACGGAATACGGCCTAAACTATGAAGCCAACGGTTGTCAAACACCTGAAGCCAGGCTTCTCATGTCTTCCACCTTCAATGGTCATGTTTCACAGCTATACAGTAGAACAGACCGATATCCCACTACAAACATTAGTTTCACTACCTGCAACATCTTCATTCAATCCGTTGAAAGAATTATGCAGAAAACTAAAGCATCTTGTCAAGGAAATTGAACAACACTTGGACAGGTCAACAACTGAATTCCTAGACAAAACAAAAGAATCAAAGATAGGCTATGATAAAAGGATGATATTTATTGATGTGACTTCATTCTTCCCCTTCAAATGAATTAAATTTAACCAAGGAGACGATGGATATTCTTCTGAAGAATGACGAAACCTTTTCTGACTACATGAAGATCATAGTCCCAAAACTAGTGGAATTGATTCATCTATATCTCACGACCTATTTGGAATTAAATGGGAAGATTTACAAAAGGATAAAAGAGGCACCTATAGGATTGATTGCTGAAGCTGGGATCAATAATCATCAAATCAAAAGTTTGATTTCGGTACGTTGATGACACATTCCTAAGTTTCAAGGAAGATAAGAAAAAAAACACGTTCAAACCAGTCAATTAAACATTTGAAGAAGAAAGCTAACAACAAAATTTCGTCCTTAAATGTCTTCATCAGCAGAACATATGATAGGACTTTGAAATCTCAACCGTACACGAAAACTACACATCCTGATGAAATTTTTAACTACAACAGCAATCATCCTACAGTTCATAGGAAATGTTGTATACAAACACTATTCTCAAGACCTAATATACATTGCAGCACTGAAGCACCACGGAAAGACGAAGGAAAATATCTGTGGAATATAGGGCTTCAGCAGCATGTCTCCATTCCACTCTCTTCTCTGCGGTCTTTTGAATTACGCTCCACGACCGCCTATAACTTTTCATTTCTTCCTCACATGATCTCTTCTATATTACCCTCGGACGCCCAAATCATCGTTTCACATTTGGATTCCACTCGACAACTTGGCTTAGCGCATGATGTCCCCGAATGGTCTTCTCAGTGTATGCTCAACCCAATCCATCTCCACCTTCTTCTTCATATTTGTTGGGCGATGGATTCTTCGTTGATTCGTTCCAAGAGTAAATTCCTTGTTGCTTATTTTTTTCTGGCCATCTGATCTTCAGTATAGAGGATAGGCAGCAGTCATAGTAAACCGGAATTTACAATATCCCGCAAGCTTATCATATATGATAACATGACAAGTGTTCTTCTGCACGAATGATTCTGCGTCGTCAGAATTGTCGAATAAGGATATCCATATGTAGTGTATTGTGTGTGTGAAGAGTGTATAAATTACAGATTGAGATTTGTATGTACACACGTGCTACTAATAGTTCTTATCGCATATACGAATGTTGGTTATGTCAGTATATCGGGGAAGGTTGAGACCACGTCAAAACTATTGTAGTGGGCGTTGCCGATAACAATGGATATAAGTAGTATATGTTGAGACAGTGGGAGAAATCATAGGGAATTACCAGCAATGGGTAAGAATTCCGCCAAAAGAAACGCAAGAGACAAGGCAGGCGTATGAAGAGCAAATCAAAAAAGAATCAGAAGAGGAAATGAAGCACATTTTGAAAATGATGGTTTGAATGCAAGGTGTCTAACGACTTCTATCCCACTTGATGACGATAAACATTCCTTCCTGCATATCTATCTTATGCTTCTTTCACTACGTATTACTCCACAATTCTTATTTAGTCAATTATGATTCCACTCTGTATGTGAAGAGATTCTCCTATGAAACGTTCTTTATAGTTTCTAAAGCCTTTTTGAATAACTTTGATATTAATCTGAAATTATAACATGTAAGGCTATGGCTGATGTGTTTTCAAGTTGTTTTTTTTTATAGTTCCACTGGATTTCTAGACGGTCGAGTGGAAGCTGTTTGATGTTCATTTTTCCTAATTTTGATTTTACGAGAAGTTTGTCTTATGTATATATTGCATTACAATCTGAGCATTTTAAACATAATTGGATTGTGAGTCTAGAAGGATATCGTCCTTCATCAAATGAAGTAAAGTGCTATGTAGTATGTCTAATGTTCTGCAGAACACTTTGATATTGTATTGATTGAGTACTCTTCTAACTCCATCTAATGTGTATATCTGTAAGTGACAATTATTGTTGAGGCCTACGATTTAGGAGTAGTTTTACGATCTAATTTAACCTTATTTTCTATTTTACAAATGAATTTTACCCGATAATTATTCCTTATTGAGTACCTTATTCACATATTTTAATTCCTTATCGCTTTCATTTTCATCTGTTCGTTACCAGAGCATGTGCTCTCCTTAAAAGACTGAAGGCAACAGAAACTTTCACACTAATTTCTATGTGATGAGTTCCAATTTAGACTATTCGTTCGAATACGTTGTTTTCCTGAAAATGGTTATACCAAAATGTCTATTTTCTTTCTGCATAATAAGATAATCAACGAAACGTAGTTTCCCCTTATCCATTTCTTTTTCTGAGCTGAATATGATGAAAAAGTGTGTTTATCAGCAACTTCAAATCAATAGGGGTGTACACCATTGTTCATCAAAGATATCTCAGAAACAGTCAACTGATTGTTTCATCCGTTCAGAACCAATGAAATCACTACACAATATGTTGTGTAAACCAAAAGATCAGTTGCCAAAGACAGATAGGACAAATAAAATCTATAATACCAACTACAAAGATTATTCAAGACATTATATTGACCAGTCTAGCTGTCGGATTCCTCAAAGAATTCCTGAACACTGATTAGTGGTAAAGCAACATGATCGTAAATTTGACTAGGGGAATGTGGAAATACTCTAAAGGGCAGGTGTTCAAAAGTTGAAAGATAATTTCAATTAAGATTAGTATGGATACAGTCTAGAATCCGCTTTAGGAAGAAAACAGCCATCTATTAACCAACTAAGAGCAAATTGATCAAGTAAATCTATAATAGTGTATAATATGATCGTAATAAATAGTATAATTTCACTCTGGCAAAGATTATCTACCAATGTGACTGAATGAAATTTAAAGTCAATGAAAATATAACCTAATCATATCGTTCAACATTTGAGTACGCTTCAATTCTTTATGAGATTAGTGCTAATGATATCATCAAGCTTGATAATGAAACATTCGTGACGTAATAATCAAAGCTCAGAGAACACTAGACCACTAATATACAAGGATATTATCAACAATTATCAACATCGATAGAACAAAGTCGGTAGTCAATCTCTCCTCGAAAAGCTTAAGCTTAGCTGAGACGAAAGTACTCGAAAAAGGATTAAACTTCAACATGGCAATAGGTCATCTAAAACCAGAAGATGTCATTATCTAGCAGAGAAGTAGCGTTAAGCTTAGTGGATGTAGCAACAGCTGAACAGGTTAGAGCACAGTGTGCGTTAACACTGAAAAGATAAAAGAAAAGACAGCGAAACTTAACAAAACTTGAAAATTCAGCTGTGAATAGTCTACGGAATGACAATAATCTAGTAATTTTTAAGTTTGATAAAGTCAATTCAACAGTAGTTATAAACAAATTGGAATTACTTCAACAAAATTAACGAGCATATCCAAACAGGACCATATGAAGAAATCAAGAAGTCCCTAGACACGGTCATGAATAAAATCAGGAAATCTACAGCTAATCTGATACACCGACTAAAGCCATCTCTAAGTGAGTCTGAACGGTTTAATTTAATGCCTAAAACTAATAATCCTAGCAGAATTCATGGCACTATGAAGGTCCAAACACCAGGTTATCGCATTAGATCTATAGTGGACTGGACTTCAGAAATACCCGCCAACATATGAACTAGCAAAGCACTTGACTTCAATACTATGCCCTATTAGGAACTCTTACGAGTTAAAACTTAGGCTTAATGACCTTCACACATAGAAGAAGATGAAAAAATGGTTAGCTTCGATGTCACTAGTCTGTATACTAGAATACCAATCAATATGACACTGGAAGCAGTCAGAAGTCAACTAAATATTGACTCACAACTTACTCACAGAACTAAGATATCATTTTATGAGATCATATTAGGCATACAGTTATGCCTGATGTCCATAGTCTTCAAGTTTCAGGACAAAACATGCGGACAAACAGAAGGAGTAGCAATGGGATCACCAATATCCCCAATCGTAGCAGATATATTTACGGGTAGTTTGGAAAACATGGCATTACAAATGTTTAGTCCTACTCCAAAAATATGGTGGCGATATATGGATGACACATTTACTGTGTTGAAATCAGAACATATCAATAATTTCCTCATGCATATAAACTCAGTAGTAGGCGGAATTTACTTCCCTTACATGGAGATAGAAAATGAACAAGGAGAATTACCTATGTTGGATTGTAGAATAAAACGAAGAACAGACGACGGCTTGAATACTACTGTCTACAGAAAACCAACACATTCCAACAGGTATCTAGACTTCAAATCATCCTATCCAATGTCAGTCAGTGAAGGCAGGACTAGTCAAATGTCTAAATGATAGAGCCAGAAAACTGACTAGTCAGAGCAAGAACCTAAACAAGGAATTGAAACACGTAAAAGTTCACAGCCTCCATTGTATTACCCTATAAAAAGGGTACCTCAGAAACTTTACGTAGAATCCTCAATAGAGCTGGAATCACAGTGGCATTTAAACCTACAAACTCACTCAGAGATAAACTTTGTCGACTGGCTTAAGGATCCGATAGAACCAGTTCAGTAGAATAATCTAACCTACCAAATTCCATGTAATGACTGTGAGTCAGTTCAAGTACATAGGTCAAACTAGTCGGTCGGAATCATTTAGAGTAGCCAAACGTAGGAACTTAGCTAAATATGGAATAACAGACCTAAATAAGATCGATAATCTAGAAAAGAACTTGGCTATTGCTATGCATGCATGAAGCCACTGTACTTAAATCAAACATACTTAGGTGAAGAGAGAGAGATTGATTACTGAGTCTTTGTTCATCCAACCAATAGCCAGTCAGCACATGTAATAGAAATGACGCAACACCTTTCTATACCAGAGATATAGAAAATTTTACTACCAACAGGAACAAAGGTGACAGAACCATTAAATCCGTTTGTTGAAAGAGTGATGTGATGAATGATTATGAGCAATGATAATTTATCCTCAAAATGTCATCAATTCAATAATACTACATCATTGTGTGTTATAAATCAAATAAACAAATCTAATATGGGATTAAATTCTCCCACAGTGGTCAAATTTTATACCGATATTATTAATGGAATAAATTATAAATACTTCTAAGTATACAAAAATTGATAACCAACCTGAAATCAAATTGTTTAACACGTTCAATAAGTGATATCCAATCGTCCAACATAAATGAACTCAAGATAATAAGGAGAATAAATATTCGACATTTTAGCAAATAAAATAACATAATATAATTTTTCCTATGGAATTCTTTCGTATACAACAACATATCAGTCGATTGGATGTTGGATGTTTGACAATAATTGAATGATTCAACTTCTTTGACATTGATACAATTTTGTCGACAGAATGAATAGTTCTAAAAAAAAATGATAATCAAAAAATCGGATCAACTTTTAATAATAAAGAGTTAAATAAAAATTTATACTGGAATCTATGAAAAATACTACTATTAAATGATATAAGTAGTTGTGCATTACACAAATCATTTGGAAAATATTTATCAAATATTATTTTCAGAAATCGTATCATTGACCCATTAAAGTAGTTATGTATAACCCACTAAAACATTATTGTAGTAATTGAATTTCAAAGTCAGTTAATCACTAATAATAGAGGACCTGGCATGGCATAAATATCGCACTATCACATCAAGGTATGAGGCACTAAGATGAAAGGGAGAAATTAGTAATGAAGTAATCCAAAACAGCAGAAAGTCGTTACACAAAGAAAGAAAGGATAACTACCATGAAGATAATATTTAGACTCATTTGAGTCGATCCTTTGCTGCTGTTGTCTTGTATCTATCCAGTAAGACTCGTCAGAACAACAGTTGAAGACTTCATAGATTGATGCTATATTTAAGTCTGGTCACCCTTCAGGCAACATTGTTTAGGGAGGTAGACAATGACTACTCATGTGCAATACATATCTCAGTTATCTGAGTGTATGAAGATTGATGACCATATCAACTGACTTTACTTTCCTTCCTAATTCAAAAGCATTTAGCTTGAGCACTATCTATTGTTGACATTCCTGATTGTAGTGGACTGGATAATGCAACAAACAGTGAGGAGCGAGAAGAGGGGGATATGCTGTTTGACCGGGGAAAAAATCCTAGAAGATTTGAATTTCGCCTATGACTTGTGTCTAATGTCACATAAACTCGAAGATCTACAGGCGAAAACTAACAAGTTGACAGAAGAGGCAGCGAAGACGAGACTTCAAGTGAATATAGAGAAGACAGAGGTGATGAAGATACCCAACCAACGCCACCACCACCACCACCAGCAACAACAACAACAAGCTTCAGTCGCCATCAACGGGAGAAACTTAAAGGAAGTAGCCTCCTTCACCTATCTAGGCAGCACTGTTTCATCTACAGGTGGCACAGACGAGGACGTCAAAGCCAACCAGGATCGGAAAAGCAAGACAGTCATTCATTAACCTGAAACCGATGTGGAGATCTTCTACACTCACCATGTGGAACAACATACGGATTTTCAACACTAACCAATCCAGCCAAGTCAGTGCTTCTGTATGGTTCAGAGACTTGGCGCGTTACGAAAGGGATTTCCAACAAACTAAAGACATTCATCAATAACTGCCTACTCTGGTTCCTTACTGGAGATGAGATCAGATGGCCAGGAAAATAAGATTCAGCAACAAGAAACTCTGGCTGACTGGCTGGCAACGAACCAACAAAGCAAAAACCTACCACTCAAAAAATATGCAGAAGTGGAGATGGATTGGGCTGGACATACACTGAGAAGACCATTCGTGGACATCACGCACTAGGCCAGCTGCTCGAGTGGAACCCAGATGGGAAACGGAGAGTTGGGCGTCCGAGGTGAGGGTGACATGGAGGAGATTATGCGAGGAAGAAATGAGAGCTTCTGGGTAGTCGTGGAACCAGGTTGAAAGATTTGCAAAGAACAGAGTAGAATGGAGACATGCTGCTGAAGCTCTGTGTTCCACTAGGAACCCAAGGGACAAATAATAAATATAATACTATCCATTGTCGAATATTCAATGATAACTGGTGATAAAATCACCCCTAGTAGTTGTTTCACAACTTCTTCATATAGTTTCAACCCAGTTTGTATGAAAGGTAGGGAAGCGCTTATTTCAATTGATTACATTCATTCAGGACAATATGTTTCGAAAATAGTAACAATGCGTGAGATCTTTTGTCTACTTGAACAGTTATAATGAAGAGTTTGATCTCATATACCGTAAAAAAAACTATTAGCGAATGCCTTAATACTGTAAACCAGTTATCAATCGGCGTCAACATTGTACCTTAAATTACTGTGCAACGGTCCAAGTTGTCAGACCTTATCCATACCAGTATCAAAGGTAATAAAGGAAATTACAGAGTAACAGAGATAATATGATCAAAAGAGGAGGGGGTAAACAAGATAACAAGATGCAATATGATGGCTAAGATATAGGCGCATATATATGCTACGGTGAACAATATTGAGCCATACCATACCTAAAGTATGCAATGTACACCTCAATAACGAAGTCTACAATTTTGTGAAACAACTAAAACAAAACATTCAGAGATTTCATGAACTGATGGCATGTTTTAAAATGGCAAACGATGATCTTTTTCCAACCTAATCTTACTTCGAAGTAGACGCTAATTAAATGTGTACAAAGTGGACGAAATAATTAACTACTTCATATCCGAATATCGAATACTCTGAAACGTTCTGACTGAAAGGTGACCTCATTGCTAATATCTTGAAAAGGATATTTTCAAATTCGCTGAAGAAAACTTACTTTGTGTCAACTTTGAACATATAATTCTACAATCGTCCAATGTTTCCCCACAACCTGAAGGATCAGTTTTCTCATCTGACTATTTCCCCCATATGTGTTTACGAATTCATTTGCTTGTGTATGAAGCAAGCTATGTAAATTGTTTGATGCGCATTGTTTTCAAATAGGTTATAGAATTGGTGCGAGTTAATCTCCATTAGAATGGTAATGATTAAACATCTTGTCAACCAACACTGATCACAGTAACACTTTTATGTACTTCAAAAGCTCTTCTCATATGTATAGAGAAAGTGTGAGTATGTTTACAAAAGAAACTTGTTCAATGTTTGCTAATACTTTGAACACAGCGAAATTGCTAAAAAAATATACTGACTTTTTTCTGTCTCTTAATATTCACAAATTTGTTATATTTAATTAGAGATTTTGATAACTGAAGATCGTCTTCATTTTGTTCCCATGATATACAATGATCATACATTATCTCCAAAATTATTGTTATATATTATGCAACACTTCATATTCTATAAGCTAAATAATGTTGGTGTTATTGCTTGTCCCACAAGAAGTGGCTATCGTGGCTCGGTAGTGTAGTGAATAACGCTCTCGCGTTTAAAGCGATCGCTGCCAAGTCCGAATTCCGGTGGGAACAACACCATTCACTGAAAGCCGGGTACATCCAGCTGACGAGTCCCAAATAGGATAAAATGCGCATCCTGGATTCTACTGTTAGTCACTACCCATCATTACTATAAATAATGTTGGTTTCTAAGCTTGTATGTGAATAATTTTCACCCGGCATTACAGTGATGAAGTCGAGAGCCCTAGTCGACTGATATAGCTGATGCATGTAATGCGCACGTTAAGCCATCGTCTATCTCAACGTACCATGTTAGGGAAAGTCGGATAAAGTTGGAAAAGTTGAAAATCCGGATCTCGCTGTTCATACTGAGTGCAGTACAATGCAGTGCAGAAGATCTCCACACTTATTTCAGGTTAATGCAGGAAGGCTTATCTTGCTGTCTTTCCGATCCTGGCTGGCTTTGACACCATCATCTATGCCTGTACAGCCCGTAGTTAGAACGATGCTGCCTAAGGTAGGTAGGTAGGCAGGTAGGTAGGTGGGTAGGTAGGTAGGTAGGTAGGTAGGTAGGTAGGTAGGTAGGTAGGTAGGTAGGTAGGTAGGTAGGTAGGTAGGTAGGTAGGTAGGTAGGTAGGTAGGTAGGTAGGTAGGTAGGTAGGTAGGTAGGTAGGTAGGTAGGTAGGTAGGTAGGTAGGTAGGTAGGTAGGTAGGTAGGTAGGTAGGTAGGTAGGTAGGTAGGTAGGTAGGTAGGTAGGTAGGTAGGTAGGTAGGTAGGTAGGTAGGTAGGTAGGTAGGTAGGTAGGTAGGTAGGTAGGTAGGTAGGTAGGTAGGTAGGTAGGTAGGTAGGTAGGTAGGTAGGTAGGTAGGCGAAAGAGACAACCTCGTTTAGATTTCGCTCGTTGATGGTGATTGGCGTGTTGTTGTTGTTGGTTGAGCATCTTCATCACCTACGTCTTCTCTACTTTCACCTACAGGTGGTCCCGTCTTCGTTGCTTCACCTCTTCTGCCAACTTGTCGGTTTTCAACCATAGATCTTTGAGTTTTTGAGACACTAGACATAGATCATTATCGAGGAAATCGAAACCTTCTAGGGTCTTTGCCTTTTCGCTGGTCAAACAGCGTATGTCCATCTTCTCACTCCTCACAGTTTCTTGTTTGTTTCCAGTTGGGTCCAGTCGACCACAATCAGGAAGACAATCAGTGATGGTAGGCGGCAACATTGTCTTACTCCTTCCTATCTTCACTTCAAAGGCATCACATTGCTTTCCATTGTGTCACTTGGCATGTAACATCATATAGCCTATAGCCATTGAATGAGGTTGATACAGGTTTGTGGCACTAAAACCGTAGTGTTGAAGCATCTGCCAAACTAATTCTCGGTCAACATTGTTGAAGGCTTTTCAAAGTTGATGAAATTGAGGTAAAGAGTTGACTGCCATATTAGATATAAGAAAGCTATTTATTCGATTCAACGTGAAGTAGCAACATGTTTCAGAAGGAAAAGTGGTTGATGTAAACGTTATTGATTGATTGTTCGTGTGTTGCTGATTGCAGTTCATACAGTAACGACATCGTTCTGTCTCTGTGAGAATTACCCTTTTAAGTGATATGTCAGTAGTAACATTGGATTCCCTCTAGGCAACAATCGATTCTAATATTTCATATGATAAAGTTCTATGCTAACTGAGTCTTCCATCACGTCTACCTTCCCAAACTATCTGACTGACTAACAACTAACGTAGAACCTGGCACACAGGTTCATCGGTTCAAGTGACCGGACTTCACAGTAGTATACAAAGAACAAGTGGACACAAGAAAGACTGATATAAAAGTAGACAAAGTTGTGTGTTAGAGGATAAAGTATCTGAAGACAATGCTTGGTGGGAATATTCAAGCTTTAGAAAATGTCAAAGGAAGAATATATCTGTGCCATTTTGACCGATTTTCAGCCATGTTACCAACAGTCCTCAACCACTGATTCATATCGTCTCGTGAACTCCAACAAGGCAGTTTACATCTCCCCCATATGACTTAGACCAACAGTCAGAGACCTCGTCAACTGGTACCACGTTTTGATCTCGTCACCCTGAACCCTTTTCCAACCTAATCCAAATTCCTTTGGTATATCACGCCAAGGTAGGTGTTGAGTGAGCATGTACAGTACATGTCCAAGCCATTTCAGTCGATGAAGGTTCACAATCTTATCGATCAACTTGCCTTAATTTGCGCAGTACCCTTCGCCTGACAACTTGAATGGTCTACCTTCAAACATTATTAACACTATTTTGCATATCCTCGATATGAAAATTAGTAGTTAGACTCAAAAAGACTATGGGATCCACACACACACACACACACACAATGATCGAAAAAAGTTCATCTTGAAGATAATCGCAAAAGCATAAACAACTTCGTACAGTCTAGTCCTGAGTTCTGATCGAATTCAACCGGTCATTTGACAATGTAGCTACAAGACTAGGATGCTCACTTTGATGGATGCTTTATTTTGTTGGAGCAAATCGGTAGAAATCCTTGCTTGACCCATGTTTTGTGCTTGCTGGTACTCGTCAGCATGGTAAATCTGCTGTCTTTAAGGAACTGATATCCCCTGATGATAAGCCTCCTAGTTTGGTGACCACGCTGTAGAATAATTCATAGAATTGCGTCAGTGCCTAGGACTAGACAACATGAAATCGGTTGCTTCTCCAGAGACCAACGAATGTATCTAATTCAGTCATACGGGAAATCAACCGCGGGCGAAACAGCATAACATTGCATGATGTGGGTCTGAATATCACAGGGGAAATCATTCCCTTTGAGGTCGCAGATAAACCTCACTGACGAATGCCAAAAAACACGAAATCCAGGTCAAGAAGGACTTCAAGAAAATTACTTTCAGACACCTAACAACATCTATGAAAGCAAGAAAATGTATCCAGATAATTACTGGCTTAAACAAAAGCAACATTAATCATTGTAAATAATTGATACTTACATCAATTAATAATAACACACTGAGTAGAAGAACAGCTAATGATTCAGAGATTATCCAACCAACAAATAGAATAAACAGTGTTGAAATTATCATCATGCAGGTTGAAGTTGACGATATACTGCTGGTTCTGATGTGTACATGCATTTGTGTGTGTGTGTGTGTGTATAGCAGGTAGAAAACGAAAAAGAGAAATAATAATAATACTAGTTAAATGTCCAATGCAACTACATACATAACACTTCTAAGACGGCAACACAATCCTCAGGAAGACATCAAGACTGCAAAACCACTGAATAATCAAAAGATGAAGCAAATTTAGTCACTTAGGGTTAGTCTAGTCTTCAATGCCTCCCTTATTCTTTAAGTTGAAGCTGAATGATTGGAAGTTAATTATTAGAACACCGTTAAAATAGTCTTTGTCTTCCTTATTTCGTCTACAATTATATGAAAATAAAACACTAACGTCAAGTAAGTGCTTCTATATGGTTCAGAAACTGGGCGCGTTACGAAAAGCATTCCAAACAAACTACGGACATACATCAACAGTTATCACCTACGCTTACTCCATACTGAAGATCAGATAGATGACCAGAATAATAAGAATAAGCGAGGAGGAACTCTGGCTGGCTGGCAACGAACGAACCAACCAACAATCTATCACCCAACAAATTTGTAGAAGAAAGCCAAGGTAAATTGGATTGGATTGGACATACACTGAGAAGACCGTTTGAGGACATTACGCGGCAGGTCAGCTGCTCAAGTGGAACCCAAATGTTGAACGACGAGTTGGACGTCCAAGGCGAAGGTGATATGGAGAAGACCGTGTGGTGAATGAGTGAAAGGTTATAGACAGTCGTGCAGCCAGGTTCAAAAAGTTTCATAGAAGAGAGTGAAATGGCCATGTGCTACTGAAGCCTTATGTTCCACTAGGAACCCAAAGAACTGTATAAAGGATATCTCAAAGTTGTGTAGTTATCTTGATATGTCATGTCCAAAACTTAATCCAGTAAACAATACTGTTACAGAGTGTGTGTGACACATCGAAAAAAAATCAATAAAAACGGAATTAGATGCTACCACAGTGGACAAGTTTTACTCTTATATTAATCGACATCTTGACCTAAAGCCATTGAAAGGCTATAACATGTATCATTTCTGCTCAACAGGTTACTTGAATTACTCCACTTATTTATGTACAATAGGAAAGACATTGAATTCAAGGTATTCAAGCAATAATTATTACATTATATAGAAACAACTATAATAGAATTATCAATTCTCTTACATGTTATCATTTTGTTTGCCTGAAGAAATGCGTTGAATTATTTGAGCGATAAACAAAAGGAATCCATCAAGAAGGTAATTACCAATAGGGATTAAAAAAGCCCATGGAATTGAAATAATGAAAAAGGGTAAATGAGCAAGAATAAGCTCTAGATATGATTGATGAATAACAGATAATTGAAGTGTAGTCATCAAGCGTAAACCAAGTTGTCCATATTGTTGTAATTCAATCCATTCTGAAAATCTATTGATAAAAACAAGACGTATAGAAAACTGTTTGTTGAAATACGAAGAAGAGTTAACAGTGTTTAAATACTATTGTTTAGCGTTATCAATTGACCAAGCGTTTTTCATCACAGTTATCCATTCGTACAAAGTGAAAAAAACTGATTAAGAGAATCAGTAAAAGGGGGGAATGAGAAAATTCTGCAACACAAACTGGTAAGCAAGCACATTCTTGTGTATTAGATCATAAGTCATAGCCTTCATTTAAGGGTGTTGACGTATTCTTAGCTAGGATACAGAAGGACCCCGTTTGGGATCTGTAGCACCGACTGACGAGATATCCGACTACGCTGAAGTCTATTCTGTCCTGTTATATGGCTGTGAAATATGACTATTGAAAGGAGAAGACATGAGCGATGATAGGGTTTTGATCATAGATGTCTTCGTAGCACTGTTTGTGTTTGGTAAAATCACCATATGAGGAATGTTGAGGTCAAGCGAAGGGTACTGGGAATGATAGGCAAGTCAATTCATGAGGTTATGAACCTCAGTCGACTGAGGTGGCTTGGACATATACCGCGTACGCAGAACCACCGCCTATCTCGGCATTCAATGCTAGAAGAAGTTGGATTAGGTTTGGATGGGGTTGAAGGTGGCCACACCAAAACGTGGCACTAGACCGTGGAATCCCTGATTGTTGATCGGAGCCGTGTTAGAAGATGTAAACTACCAGGGATCCTTAAAATGAATGAATTTAGTGGTTAAGGACTATTGGTGGCCGCTGAAAATCGTTCACAACAATGCAGATGTATTCATTTTTTGACATCTTTCAAAGCTTGAATATTCGCAGTTACCTTTATCTTCAAATAGCTTATTCTATCCACCTTTTGTTGTGTACTACTGTGAAGTCTGGCAACTCGAATCGATGTACTTGTGTGCAAGGTTCTACATTGATTCTGTCTGCTGGCTAGAACGTTGTTGCATGAAACAGGATTCACATTTTAGACCAAGTGGTTAAAAGGTAAGTGACTAAATCAAAAAGCTACACCTGGACAAAATATTTAAATATATTTTTTGAGTAATACATTATCTCGGAACCTGGCTTAAATAACACTCAGTGAGTAGCAGATGAATTCAGGGAAGTCAGTTTGATAACAGACAAATTGTGTGTATAACCCAGATACTATGGTTTGTACCAGTAATATGGATAATGACTAGCAGTGGAATTCAGCTAGAGGCGCGTTTCATCCTATTTGGGACTCGTCAGCTAAATATACCTGCTTCCCAGTGAGCAATGTTATTCTCACTAAGACAAGTGACAAAATACTGTGTTTTGCTTACAAGAAACGTACTGTGAAACAATGTATGAATCATTATGATACACTAGTGAAAATGATTATGATTCAGACAGAATTTCTCGTAGGTGAGAAATAACTTTTACGTTTTAAATCATTAAGAGACTAATGAGACACTGTTCCATCATCCGTAAATGAGACATAAAACGGGAAATAGATGGCGAGCCATCAACACTTCTCAATCTTTCGCTAACGAAGGCTATCCTGGATAGTTACTCTTCTAGCGTGATTTCAACAAGAATAATTATAATAACGATGACAGAAGTGAAAGACCGCATGTAGGTTTGAGTACTTGGCTGTGGACGACATCTACTGTGTGGGAGTCGATAATACTACAAGGTAATAATAATAATAATAATAATAATAATAATAATAATAATAATAATTACAAGTATATCGGCCAGATATTCACACTCCATCAAATTCTGAAACGCAGGAACACTTATCGATACCCGAGACTAGCTGTATTTCTCGACTCCGTCGAACGAGAAGTCATATGGCAGTGTCTCTCGCTGAAAAAGGTGCCAATTGCATCATTCACCTGAAGGTTCTTTAATAGAACACCCAAGGGTATTTTGGAACCTATAATGAGTTGTCAGGTGAGCATTATATATTCAGTGGTGTTCGTTAAGGATACCTACCCTCTCTCTCCATTGCTGTTCAATTTAGTCATAGTTGTTCTTATGGAGGTCACTTTCTCATCGACTGAATTCACAAAGAGTGGTCCTAGCAAAGAAGAATGTTTGGTAGACTTACAGGACGCAGATGGCATAGTCCTGTTGGGTGAAGACGCCGATAAGATGCATAGTCTTCCGGACACCTTGAGTGGCCGTTTAAGAATGTTTGGGAGGCGTTTCACGCCACCAAATGCAAATTGTTGCACCTGGACTGGTCTTCAGGAATGCCCCGGATAACAATAGAGAGTGAAGCGATTGAGCCCATTGAATAATTCGCTTACTTGGGAAGTCAAATCAGTCTTGATGCGCTGGTCAGTGAACAACAAAATCTCTGTACGAATGAAAAAGGCTCGGTTTGCTTTCGCCAACTTGTGCCATTCACACTACCACAATTATATCCGATTGCCAATTAAGGGCCGACGATAACGAGCTACAGTTCGCTCTCTAATAGTATATGGCTGTGAAACATGACCGTCAAAGGTAGCAGGCATGAGAAAGCTTAAGTTGTTTGACCACTGTTGCATTCGTGGCACACAGCCCGTGTGTAGTGGTGTCACTACGTGAGTAACGCAGAAGTCAGATCCAGGAGGGAGAGGAAAGTCAGTTGATAGGGCGTGAATGTTCATCAACTTAGATCGCTGGAACATGTATTACGCATATCTAGTCACCGTCTGCCTCGTCATGCAATGTTGGCCGAAGTAGGTTCAGGCTAGATAAAAGCTCGCAGTATCCAGACTTAAGTAAGGCACCACGGCAAGAAATATTTGACTGTTCGTCTGAGCCGTGTAGCGAGACGAAAACTAGCCGATTGATGCCCAAATGACAATAGGAACTAGCGGTTTGAGACTCTGGGTGTTATGACTCAGAATCTATGTCAGTGGCGCAGATGTTGTCATCATCTTAACCGCTACAATGAATTTACCATTTTCTCATCTCTCCAACCTCGCTTCTATTGCTTCCTACTGCTTTTGACCGATTCTTGTCTCTTCCTTCATCTTTGTAACTTTTTGTGCTGATATGAAGTGTGTCAACTTCGAGCGTTGTAAAGAAATACCTGGTTCTGTGTTGTGGAGCTATGACTCAGTAGTTTAAGGAAATGACAATCAACCATTGGGTCACGGGTTCGAGCAGCCAGATAGTATATCACTAGCCCTCATACAATAAGTGTGGCTCATTGCCTGCTCTACGAGTGTGCATAAGGTAGCTGAGTGCCTCCCGTTCCGTCCCGGTCCTCTGTTGATATTGATTGACTGGTAGACACTCTACAAAGTAGGGTTCAGATCCGTGATCCACTGATTGAATGAAGTGGATGAACCAGCGATCCACAATCTAATTCCCAGCTGGTTTTAGATAACTTGAATCATCTGGTTGAGTAGAGTTAACTTTATAAATACAAAACCTTCTAGAAACTACAATTTATCCCTTAATATCATTGGTCTCATCTCGATAATTGTACTGTGAATGATTTTCATCCCCAAGCAATAGTAATTATTTCTTCAATTGAAAGAACCAGATTACATGATTAAAGTGAGATAAATTTTAATTTACAGTATAAGTCATTAGGATAATATCAAGGTTTAGGTAAAAAAAAATTGTAAGAAATTCTACATTGAAGCAGCCAATATACCAACACGAACTAATGATACAGTCCTGGAAATCAACACTGAGTAAAATGCACATTCTGGATTTCAATATGTTAGTTTATACATCAAAATTGTGTAGTATAGATTTGAAACCAAACAAACAAACAAAAATGAAGCAATTACAGACAGAAAAAGGTATAAGACTTACGGTAAATGAATCAATTGAAAACTGATAAAATGAATACAGACCACAGATAGATGACAGTAAACTTCATGAACTGGTAATGATCGCCGATAGCAAAGCAAAGTATTATCTAAACAAAGTTATATATGATATATTGAAAAAGATTATTGGAAATATTTCTTTCCTGATACAAATTTAAAACAAGTAACAAATATGAAAAAAAGCAGGATTTAATGAATTCATAAATTTCAGTAGTACTCATCAGCTGGATGATACTCTATATGATGATATATGCTGTTAGACAATGGAAAAGAATATACATACTTACAGAATACAACGTAGACTGAGATAGATTTAAGTGTAACAACATAGATGTGAACAGATTTTACAGTTCAAATGGTAGAAATGGATATTCAAAACTGAATGTGTTAGGGACAGGTGGTTGGATTCGAACCAGCCACCATAGGCGAACCACTATCACCCAGTATAAATACTAGTCTGCCAAACTACGGTTATCTCAGATAGTCAAATGATAATTTATTGATATGCTTATAATTCTCTGTTATTTTATTGGATCGAATTGTTCGACTCCTATTGGTATATAGGTTCCTGTCCAGATGCCTCGATATTACCTGAATATTAATTACTACTCCTAAATAGGATGAAATGTGTATCCTGGATTTCTCTGCTAGCCACAACCAACCAAATTACAACAATAATAATGTTCACACAGGAGTGAGAACTGAATCGATTGATCGTCGATCACCTCATTGAAAACAATATAGTTAATAGTACTACTTATGAAGACATATTAAGAAAACCAGGTATATATTGAGATGAATATACATACTGGATATCCTGATGGGGGTTCTTCACAAATGCTTCATACGATCGACAAATCACTGGTCAATATCCTCAAAACAGTAGGGAACGAAATAGCGAAACATCGCCTGAAATACACCTCTGATTTCAATGAAACTATGGAAAATGATAATCTATTCAAAAAATGAATGGGTTTTCCGGATACTTATTCGATCTCTGCAAACATTACTCCTATTGGGGCTACTATCTACTTCTTATACGGTCACCTTAAGTTCAACTACTTGAAAGGACTGTTTCTCAGATGAATCTTCAGTGTCCAAATAAAGTTCACGCAAGAACTGATTTCATCTGATGCTTATGTGTACGGTAAATTCGTTTTGCATCATTAGAAACGGAACAGGAAGAAACAAGTGCAAGCAACTGCAGTGATATCATCATCATCATCAGCAGGACCAGCTTTATAGCTCCCGAAGTAGAAGAAAGTAACCTCGTCTAGGTATTCAATATCGCGACAACTCGGAAACAGGAAAACACTATCAGAAAACAAAACTAGTTTTCAAGAAATAAATTGACGAAAACAGATTCTTGAAAATTTAAGAACAAACATGTTGATTAATTCAATGTTTACTCACAAAAACCAGGTGTATATTGAGATGAATAATAATGATAATATTGGTAATAGGAATAAGGTTAATTAGGCTAAATAAATCAGGGAAGGAAAAAGAAATATCATATAGGTGATAATTAAGAGCGAAGAGCAAGTAAAAAAGATTAAATATGATTAGACAATGTTGTAATTCCTACCATGGCAGATTCAATCTGACTACCATTTCCTTCTGAATGCAGAGGTTTGGTTTGACAACTCGAATCGCATAGGCTTCTGTATATCCAAGCAACTTCTTATTTTGCTGTCTACTGATAGCCGTGAAGAACTTACAGGTATCAATATCATGTCCATAACTCATTAAATGTTTCGTTATCGACCTCCCCGAGGTTTTCTTCTTGACATGCTTCAACCATTTGGGTAGATGATCAACCATTCGGGTTGACAGACGTCTCTCCGTACAACCAATGTATTTGCTTCCCCAGGTACCTTCAAATTGATATATGCATTCATATGTGTCGAGGATCGAAGCCCTGTCTTTCCCTGATTGTTGTTGTAGTACCCTTTTGTGGTGTTGGGCAGAACGAGTTTAGCAGCTTAGTAAGTCCTTCTGATAGACTTCTCCAGTCTTCCTCTAACTACTCCTAGTACATCGTCACCTTTGAATGGCAAGGTGATATAGACTGGTTTCTTCTGCATTGTTGGGGACGTTGTTCTGCTCCTTACCCATTTTGCGTGCTTGTCGATAAAGCTTTCTGGGTACCCATTCTTCATCAGCACGTTTTTCAAAGTCACCACTTCGTAGTCTAGTGTGCTGTCTGAACAAACTTTTCTGGCTCTGTTAAACAGCGTCCTAACTACATTCACTTTATATTGGCTTGCGACAATGAAGGTACTGTCCTGTCCATGAAGGTTTCCTATATACGGAAATTTCGATAGATCCATCGATTCTTTTGACGTTTGGGTGACATGAATTGAAGCTCTTTAGTAGTGCTTTGTCATGTCATGTTATATCCACATGTTGTAATATATAGAGATTTCTTATTTGGTCCTTAAACTTGATTTAAGCATCCTATTCAAAGTAAGTGAAGTTGACTAATGCTTGAACGAGTACTTCTGTTGTATGATAATATTCATTTTCAATTAGCTAGATAACACAGAAGTGTGCTCACTTCAATCAAATTTAATCTTTGTTGTTGTCATGTTGTTGCTTGTATTATCCTATCGTTGAGTGGACTGAATCGATCGGTTTCTATTAGCATATGGGCTCCTGCATGGATGCCTCGATATTGCCTATCGTTTCAATTATATATTAATGATGGATAGTGGCCAACAATAAAAATCAACGTAAGGATTCGCAATATCTAATGTTTGAAAGCTACATTTAATCTTGAATATTTCTCCCCATATAATTCTTATTATTTGTCCCTTGGGTTCCTAGTGGAACATAGGGTTTCAGTAGCACATAGCCATTTTATTCTCTTCTATGCAATGTTTCCGACTGACTCCACGAATGTCCACAAGCTTTCATTTCTTCCTCACATGATCTCCATGTCACCCTCGTTTCAGACGCCCAACTCGTCGTTTCCCATCTGGGTTTCACTCAGGCAAATGGTCTGACGCGTGATGTCCCCAATCGGCCTTCTCAGTGTATGCCCAATCCATCTCTACTTCCTTCTGCATATTTGTTGGGCGATGGGTTCTCGGTTGGTTGGTTCGTTGCCAGCCAGCCAGCCAGAGTTCCTTGTTGCTTATTCCTGTTATTCTGGCCATCTGATCTTCAGTCTGGAGTGAGCGTATGTGGCAGTTGCTGATGAATATCTGTAGTTTGTTGGAAATCCCTTTCGTAACGCGCCAACTCTCTCAACCATCACACAGAAGCACTGACTTGACGTTGGTGTTGAAAATTCGGATGTTGTTCACGCTTTATGCTGAGTGCAGTGCAGTAGATCTCCACACTGGTTTCAAGTTAATGAAAGCCTGTCTTGATGTCTTTTCAATCTTGCCTGGCTTTGACGTCCTCGTCTGTGCCACCTATAGTCGAAACAGTGTTGCCAAGATAAGTGAAGGAGGCTACTTCTTTTAAGTTTCTCCCGTTGATGGTGATTGAAGCTTGTTATTGCTGTTGTTGTTGGTTGGGTATGTTCATCACCTCTGTCTTCTCTACATTCACTTGAAGTCCCGTCTTCGCTCCCCTTTCTGTCAGCTTGTTAGTTTTCGCCTGTAGATCTTCAAGTTAATGTGACATTAGACAAAAGTAATAGGCGAAATCCAAATCTTCTAGTTTCTTTTCCGCGGTCCAGCGTATCCCCCTCTTATCGTTCCTCACTGTTTGTTGCATGGTCCAGTCCACTACAATCAGGAATATCATGGGTGATAGTAGGCAACCTTGTTTCAATCAAGTGGCACAGAAATGTATAACATATCTCGGTTGTGCTGCGTTGTCACAGCCGAGTAGTTTATTTGTTTCCCCTCCTCAACGACGACATACATACCTTTCAGAACGCACAAAACTTCAGTGTTCATATCTAATGGAATTCATTGTTCTTCAACTGACAGAATACTTGTAATTTAATAGCAAGATATACAGAAAGACTAAAGGAAATTCAATTAGATCACCAATATCTGGATTAATTGTAAAAGAGATAATCAGCTGACTGAAAACCATCATTCTAGCCGTGACCGAGCCAAAAATTTGAATCTACTAAGTGGATGATACTTTACAATAATATCAAATTCACAATGTAGAAGTTGAACAGCAGTCTGTCATTCTTCAGTGTTATAGTCAACAAAAACAATACCGGATACACTGATAAAATCTTCAACTAAACAGTAACACCAAGCCAAAAATGGATAAAAAGCTGAGTATAAACTTGATTTAAAACAGGAAGAAAATACTGTAGTACAAAAACTTCATAGAGAAACCAGGAAAATTACTTGATTTCTGTCCTAAAGAGGAATGATTGATTACTCATGTAACTTTATCAGAAGATGCCTATCCCGTGAATCACCAACTACAAAGTCATCCAAGGATATGAATAAACGTATCATTCTACCACACATACAGAACATATGAGAGATCATATCAAGTTTACTGAGACCACTTGGAATTGGTGAGATTAATAAATCAACAAATTCCCTTCAAACTATGATCAACACAACACTGGACAAAGTGTTCGCCCTGTTCTCCTTCGTCTACTTGAACACCAATTGACTATTAAGCGTCATGACATTTCATCGTTCATATCAATTCACGTGGATAACACTGGACATGAATTCAATTTCGACAATGTAGAAATTTTGGACAGAGAAAACGCAAAGAATTCCTAGAAACTTGGCATTCATGTCAGTCAGCAATCAATAGATGTGCAGACAGTTCCAATCTAGTAACCAATAAGAAAAGTGATAAACAACTGCAAGGTCAGAGGTTAGGCAGAGAAATAGCCAATAAGAAAATGTATTCAATCAATGACACAACAAGAAAACGACCAATGACAAACCAGTTCGTCAAGGCAAGGTACTGAATCACCCACCCAGTTCAGAGAACACAATACAACCGAGATCATTCATTTGAGCTACAAATATTCTTCATAATGTGTAACGTATATCTAATCGCCGTCTGCTTTTCTTTGCACAATCTTGGTTGAATTAGATTCATACTGGAAAAATGTTCCATGTGGCTAAATTAAAACATGGTATCACCACTAAAGTGAAGTCTTTGATTGTTGAGTGAGCTATGACAACAGAGACCAGTGATCAAAGACTCAGGGTAATATGGCTCAGAATCGGTATCAGCGAAATAGATATATCCATAAACTGCCTTCATCTTCATACTAACATCGATATTATCTCATTCATCCTTGCTAACTTTTGGTGACTTGCTTATGAGTCATTTAAAGCCTCCTGATCAGGATTATCCTCCAACTATGTAACAATGTTAGAGCTCAATATTTATCTCCTAGAAAATACATTGACATCGAAGTTATTTATTTAATGTGAAGTTTAAAGGTAAACATGATTTTAGACTCACTTTCATTAATTTTGATTAATTTGACAGTCACCAGCATTAATGACAATAACAAATGTCCACAGAGAAGGCCACCAAAGTGTGTCCAATGAAGTCGAATTAACTAGATAATGTTAGAAAAAATAAATAAATAAATATGTATTGGTTATCCTGAAATTCTAATCAGAAGCCTTGACCTGTGGGGTCAACCAATCGAAAGTGAGCAAATCCTAAAGGAAAATCTCAGGGGTTAGTCACGCTATATCGTGAATTGACAGAAACAGGAAACTGTGGACCAGTGGTTGAATGGTTAAAGCGTTTAGCATGAGTTTGATCCCTAGCAGCGGTCATGAATACGTACTGTAGAGGAATCCTATACTAGGACAAAACAGCTGTCCAGGGCTTCCAGGTTTCCAATGTTTCTCCAAATCATATCAGTTCATGATGAATGTTACTTTAAATCAAAATGTGCTTAGATGTTGAATTGAAACTATATATATATATATATATATATATATATATATATATGCTTATAATATTCCGGAGGAATAAAAGCATAAGAAACTGAGACGAATATAATTGATAGAATTAATTGACTGAAAATAAAATGTAAAGTAAGGCCGCAACAGGACTCGAACCAGCAATCACTACATTTCCTGCATGATGATCTATCAACTGAGCTACGAGGTCCAGAGCACCGAGCTGGAAACCCAGCAGTCACTGGTTGGAATCCGATCACGGTCTAAATTTTTATTTCACCTGCAAAACCATAGACACTTTATTCTCTCCAGTCTTTTTAACCTGGCTCCACGACTACCTATAACCTTTCATTTCTTCTCCATACGATTTCCTCCATGTCACCCTCGGACATCCAACTCGTCGTTTCTCATTTGGGTTCCACTCGAAGGCATAGGCTGGCGTACGATGCTTTTAAACGGTCTTCTCAGTGTATGTACAATCCAATCCATCTCCAATTTCTTCCACTTATTTGTTGGGCGATAGGTTATTGGTTGGTTGGTTCGTTGCCAGAGTGAGTTGCTTGTTGCTCATTCTTATCATTCTGACCATCTGATCTGATCTTCAGTATCGAGTGAGCGTAGGTAGCAGCTGTTGATGAAATTCCGTAGTTTGTTGAAAATGCTTTCCGTAACGCGCCAAGTCTCTGAACCACATTAAAGCACTGACTTGACTGACTTAGTGTTGAAAATCCGGACGTTGTTCACGCTTTATCCTGAGCGTAGTACAGTAGGTTTCCACACTTATTTCAGGTTAATGCAGGAAGGCTTATCTTGCTGTCTTTCCGATCCTGACTGGCTTTGACACCGTCATCTATGCCTGTGCCGCCTGAAGTTGGAACGATGCTGCCTATGTAGGTAGGTAGTTAAAAGAAACAACTTCGTTTAGATTTTCTCCGTTGATGGTGATTGGTGCTTGTTGTTGTTGCTAATTGGGTATCTGCATCACCTACTTCTTCTCTACGTTCACTCTGGCTTTTGTCGGAGGGTTTGTGTTCACTGACAGTTCTGTGGCTAGGCTGCTGGTGATATTTCTGGACGAGTTGCAGGTGTTGGTGGTGGCGGTCGTCGATTCAGGAGTTTTTTCAAGTGGTCAACCCATCGTTTCCTTTGTTTCTCCTCTTTGGTGCTAACTTAGTTTCCTTCACTATCTTTAGTTGGTTTCATCTGTGCTGTGTTGATCTCTTCTCAGATAGTAACCTAGTTGTCGGGTCTCTCCTACCATCAGCCTGTTCTGCTTCACTTACCATTTTGTCGTAGAAGTGTCTATTGTCTTTCCGTGCACTATCCTACACTTCTTTTTCTAGTGTAGTAATTTATAGGTTGCGCTCGGATCAACGCGTGATCGCTATCCAAACTCGTACTCCAGAAGGAGAGGCAATCTACCACCGATCCTCTCCAGCGATGATTGATAACAATGTGGCCTATCTGTGTCCACCGCTGAGTACGGCCTGGTGGACACCACGTCAGACAGTGTCTTTATTTGAGTCTGAGATTTGTGCTAGGTAAAAATACGTGGTTATCTGAGAACAGTTGTAGTAGACGATCATCATTATCTGTTCTTTCAGCTGCGATACCGGAAGTGCCACCTAAGTGCTTTCCTGCCTCACTCAGTCTATCCATCTGTGGATTGAAATCATCAGCAACAACCACCAATTCTGAATGTTTGGGTTTCGAAAGGAGGCTAAACAGTTTTCGGTAGAATTCATCCTTCACTTCATCCGAACTGCAGTCAATGGGTGCGTAAGCAGAGATTACAAAGAGACAACGGTAAGTTTCACTATTGCTTTTAGTTCTCACTGCACCGTTCAGCTGGACAGCGCATATGCAACTGTCTAGTAGTGAGCTTTTTGCCGTAGTGCTGAATACCGTTCCACCACCTGCAAGACCACAAGAGCTAGCCATCAAATTTCCAGAAACTCGAAGGCCCGAGTTGCTAAAGTTTTGGCCGATGAAGCTTGTTCGCCAATTTGATGGAGGCTGTGAACATTGAAGGCTCCACTGTATAATTTGGAGCGTGGTTTTAAGGAGACCGGTGATGCTGTTCTGTGGACTCAGTTTGTTGTCGGAGGCTGCTGAGTTAGAAGGAACCAAAGATGATATAGAATTGTTTGCTGGGAGACATGAAGGAAGATAAGAAGGTAAAAATGAGAGAGGTAGATATTGGTTTGAGGGAACTTGAATGTTGATAGAGTTGTAAGGGCGGTTGACAGTTCCCAACTTCCCTTAGCATGGCAGGCACCTGAAAAAGAGTGGTTAGTGCATGATCACACAGCTTAGGGAAAATCTGTTTGAGGCCGGTCACATACAGCTCTTTTGATGCTGCGACAATTGGCCTGTATTACTGAAGGTGTAATTGGACATACGTCCTGTGGTTGTGTATCACCACTAACCACTGATGACTAATCTAAGCCATCATACTACATCATTTCCTTGTTTAAGAACATGTTAAAAGTAAGGGTAACTGGTTTTTGTCTAACCACTATCCAACATACCTTTCTGGTATGGTAGGACCTTGAGTGAACAAGTGTCCCAGTAGCATAGCTCGTTGTATCATTGTGATATGCAAGCCCGACCACCAGTCAAGGTAGCAGCTATTGGTCGACAGCATGGCACACTAAGGTAGGCGGTGGCTCGGCATGCTCAACACAAGTCCAAGTTATCTCAGACGATTACGGTTCGCAACCTCATCAATCAATTTGCCTAGTACACTTCGCCTCACCTCAACATTGCTCACACGATGATTCCATCAAACGGAAGCAATGTTACGAAGACATCTGTTATCAAAACCCTGTAACCGTTTCAAGTTTTCTATTTTTAAAGGCTGTTTCACAGCAGTATAAAAGAACAGAAGGAATTGTAGAGCAGTATACTCGTCTTTTGATAGGCAATCGAATACCTCGCCAGCGTAACAGATGAAGCACGTTGGAAAATGTCAAACAGGCCTTCTGTATCCAAGCTGAGATTTTACCAATAACCAGCCCGTTCGAGGTGATGCAACCCACCCAAGGGGATAGAATGTCCAATCATTACATTCTAATGTACACATTGATTATTCAACGGCACCGTTGTAAACATATTCCCACAGTTTAAAATGACAATATGCAATTCAATACATTCTGAGTTATGTATGTATCACCCAAAAATGGGCTTTTCCAACCCTAGTCCTCATAGTCATCAAGGTCACCACCTAGAAAACACAATCAAAGGATATTATTAATCATTTTAATTTGTGGATATAATTTTCTGGATTCTTCAAAATATCCGTCTGTAATTATTATTTGAAATTCAAAGCCTTTAGTCACGAATATACATGAGCTAACTTTCAGTCGTTTACCCACAAGAAAACTTTAAACTTGTCGCTTGACTACTACTAGTTGAGCTGCCGATAAACAAATCCCAGGTTCTTTATTATGTTTTCTGACTTGTCCGTGATCAGGAATGGAAAGATATTGTCAAGAAAGACTGACAAAAGTTTCGTTTCGTCATAATGCCTTAGGCTGCATTTCAAATCAAGTTAGTAGGAGAAATTTTTTTCCATATCTGTCAAATTCTTGGAGGATAGGCATGTTTAATCACCACATTCAGGCAATACGTGTATAAACAACAGCTGAAAATCATTAGTTCTCAAGGTATAGAACTATATCCTATTAGTAAGGATTTATGCAAGTTACTGTTATCTATTATTAAACACTGAACGCCAAAATCACAACAAGCAGAGTATACTGAAGAGGTTTCACTTCCTAGATGTGATTTTAAACAGAATGGATGATGGTTGACTGCAAAGATCAGTCTTTTATATATCAACCTGGACCGCACAGTATAGAAACTTCAACAGTTGAGTACCTTTGAACAGAAACAAAAATCTCATTCAGAAAACTCTTAGAACAATACTATTAATTAATTGATATCCTCGAAGACTTTATAACAGAATCCTAAAGAAAACAAACTATCACTCATTCAATCACAATCCTCAGAAGAATTCCAATAATGAATTGGGGATTTAAAGTGGATTTGACAGTGGAAGGATTCGAAATCCATCTACTGAAGCCCATGAAGAATACGTTTTATTCCGCTAACGTCTCTTTGCATTAGCATCTCTTTGAGCTATCAATTGATTGACAAAGTGTAAAGGATAATTTGCCGCTTATCATTACATCTGTGAGTATCTAGAAATTCAAATACTTTTGTAAAGGTGACTATATCGAATTTTGTTAGCGGGTCCTCCAAAAACGTGTTGTCGAATGAATATTAAATACTTCCATTAGTCCTAAGATGAACGAAGAGCAACAAATTTGTCCCTATTTGAACACCTAATGGAGTCATGTAAATCACCTCCGGCCCAACAATAATTTCACATCTTCAAATCAATACCACCTTCATTCAACGACCACTTGAAGAAACTCCTACCCTGAATGTCATGTTAATAAGAAAATTTTTTTAAACGATTAAAATAATTTTATTCTGATTATCATTAAAACTGATTTAATATTTTTTTTAGTAGGCATAAAGTGTAAATCTGCGAGGGTGAAGCGAAGACTGGTGATTAGTAGTGGGATCCAGGACATGTGTCTTGTCCTACCTGGAGGTCATCAGTTAGATGTACCTG